TAGATTCTTCTAGAATCTAGAGCAGCTAGTATATATAGAGGTAGAATAACTAGTAGATAGAGAGCAAGAGACGATTACAACCATAAGAGCAGATCAATCTAATCTTTATCTCTCTCCCCTAGCACTATTTCTTTTCTATTAAGAATCTATCGACTAGCTGCCTCTGAGTCTACTAGGAACAAGTAGAAGGCAGAGACCTCTACCTCTAAGTTCTATTAGAACAAGCAGCTACTTCCACCCACTTATTTTAACATAAGAAAGTCTATCTTATTAACGTAGTAGACCTTATACTAGGCGAGCTTCTTAATCTCGTATCTGTACGCGCGCTTTAGTAGAGAGTAGTAGCTTACGTCTAGAGGCTAGAGGAGATAAGAGGTATAAGGTAGCATACAGAGAGTAATAATCTTATTCTTAGCGTAGTACTAGTTAAACTCTAGCGTAGCGTAGCTACTATAGCCGTCTAGAATAAGAAGTTAATAGACTCTAGCCGTACGAGTCGCTATATACTAGTTAAAATGCTTTACCTACTCTATACTAAGCTTATCTATCGTCTAGCTATTTTCTAAGACGCTAATAGCCTAGTCTAGTAGAAGATTACGGTACTAACTACTCTAGTAGACCTTACTAGACAGTATCACGAATAGTGGCAGAGACTAGCTAGACGCGTTAACGCACTTAATCGCTATAACCTACTTACGATTGCCTAGCTATACGATAACTACCTAACCAACTCTATTAGAGCTAGTCACAACCTTTAATATACTAGCGACGCCTATTGTGAACTTAGTCTCGTTAAAGTTATAGATATCCTAGTCTAGCACGCTATATATCTAGCGCGTCTCCTCTACTAGCTTAAACTACGCTACGATTATAGCAGAATCTTCGTACTAGGCGCGCTAGCTATTAAACTTTCTACTCCACTTTATCTAAAGCTCTAGCTAGCTCTAGATAAAGCGTAATATCTATTTCTTACCTATAGGTTATAGAGGTAGATCTTAGCTACGCGCTGTAAGTAACGCGTCTACTATCCATTATATGTTAATAATATAGGGCAGAAAGCCTCGTTAATCTAGCTTTAGAATCTACTAAATAAGAGACTACTTCTTGATAGGTAATAGCTTACGCCTAGCAGACGGAACCTCTGATTATGGCTAGATACCGCGGAGGCGTGTCTAGAGCGTTGATTTTAGCACGTCGTACGCTTTCGCGAGAGAGTAGATAGATTATTTTAGATTATTATAATAGGACGCTATAGTAAAACTTATTCTACCTTTACGAGAAGTCTATATAGAGCGTTGTTGTCGCGGCATTGTGGTGGTTATAAAGAGTGTCGCGTTAAGTTTGGTAGGGCGGCCAGCTTACTATTCCGGCCAGCTTACTGATCCCGCACGTTATTCTCTTCTTTCTTCTTCTTTATAATAGCCCTAAATGTAATGCTAGCTACGCCGCGAAGACTATACTATAGGATAGGTGTGCGCGCTGCTTATTAAGCTGGTAGCGGCTAGAATAATGCTTAACGAAAGGTACGTAGACGCTAGTTATAATATTAGTAATAACGATAAGAATATATATACTATAGAGTTAATTATAGGCTATAATGTTATAATTATATTTCTTCTAGCGGGCTATATTAAGAATAATCTAGCTATAACTATCGCGATATAGATATAGATAGCGTTTAAGAGCCTTTAGTTTAGCCTAATAGTAGGTATTAGTAGAGGCGTTCTAAATGCCTGCGTAAATATTCGACTTAGGGACGTTATGGTAAGCTAGCCGTAGTCGACCTTTAGTAGAGTAGTTTAGTACTAACTTAGAAGAAGAACGCTAAACGGACTTAAGCGGATTAGATTACTTAACTCTTTACTTTAGATACTACTTAGTGCTATAAGTACTATATAAGTAAATGTAATAGTGAATAAGAGTATACTGTTAGACTATCTATTAATACTTAAGCGTACCTCTATCTTCTAGTGTTATAGAGTAGAGTCTAATCCTCTATCTAAGGTAACTTATAATAATAAATATAATAATATATATAGCTAGTATAGAGTTAAGAACTTATAGCTATAATTAAAACGTAAGAGAGAAGTAGAGGTAATAGTATACTATAGTATAATCGCTTCTAGTAACTAAGTAATAAAGAATGCTACTAAGAGAGATAGAATTAGCGTAGAGCTTAATAGAGTATTGTGTTTTAAGATAGAGGCGGCGGGGCTAATAAATAGCTTTCTATACCTCATTATTCGCAGTATCTCTAATTACGCTAACTTATATAAGAATGATAAGTAGTAGGCTTATGTAGTAGAAATAGTAGTAGTATATGCGAAGGAGCTTTTGTTAGTTATATAGACAATAGAGGTGATAACTATATACTATATAGAGGATACTATATATAGTAGTAGGGGTAGTTAGTTTATTAACTATATTACTACCAAAGATATAGTTATACTAATATAGTAATAGAACATTACTACTAATTATTATTTCCTAATTATACTTCCTATAAGCGCCTAAAGATTGCTATCTCTAAGAATATAGAGAATAGCTCTGCAAAGTAAGTCTTTTATATCTCTAAGTAATACTTCTCTCTTAAATCTCTACTAAACTATATAGATAGTAGACTATTCTCTATACGTAACTTAGTTATCTTAAAGTGTATATATAATCTATTCTTACTATACTAGTCTCTACCTACTCCTAGGAACTCTTATAGACACTGCTGAATAATAAATAGAGGTAGAGTCTATTAGAGTCTCTGAGATTTAGCTAGATTAATGCGCGTTAGATGACTATTAAGACTATATACGCTAAGATATGTAGGTGGCTCTTATAAAGTAAGAAGTACCTTAACTAGCTTAATACGACTAAGCTGGATAAATACTATAGCTTCTTATGAATTAAGGGTAAGGCTAGGATAGATAAGTTAACGTTAATGAAGTATGTACTAGTTAATGCTCGCGAAGTAATGAGGGACTATATTATACTCTTCTTCTTCTTTAACGCGCGTGGTGAGAATATAGAGAAGTCTATAATTAGGGTATACCGTCCGCTATTACTATAGCTCCTAGATAATCTTCTAGTACTCTAGGACGTCTTTAATTCGCCTAGCTTTTTAAAGGTTACTAGAGATTACTAGTGGAATATCGAGACGCTGGAGATACTGCTAGAGTAAGTAGTATAGAGCTTGGGAGACTCTTCTATTGTATGCTTTATCGATGCGCTTAACGAGTGTGAAGAAGAGTAGGTTCGGGACATGGTCTAGTTCTTTGAGTATATCGGCGACCTAGTCGTGTTATATAGTATTTACTTCTAAGTATGCTTCTTAAGTAGGTATTATCTATATATTATAATCTAGAACGGGCTACAGCTAGTGCTAGAAGGTTAAGAAGGATACTTACAAGATATTACTAACTACGTTGAGACTAAGCTAAAGATTAGAAAAAGTAAGACTGTATAGTAGATCTGAGCTAAGCTTTAGGAGAAATTATTGGGGATCTTTACATAGGTTATTCTCGTTGTAGGTATCTTAAATAGAGAGTTCGATCGTAGGTAAGTATATATACTTTGAGAGAAATTAAAGGTAATCCCTAGGGACCTATATAAACTATTTAGCGATATCCTAACGCGAGACTCGCGTAATAAGGATATGCTAGTGCTTTGTATATAGTGAGTGCTCTTCGCGAAGCAGCCGCTTAGTCTAGAGTAGCTTTATTACGTTCTTCTTCTAAATACTAACTCTAATGCTATCTCCAAATTAGACCCTGAGGAGACTACGAAGTATAATATAAAGAGGTTTCTCCTCGACCTTTCTAAAGGCCTTACTAAAGCCACCGTTTCTAGAGAGCCGCGGGTTTAATTTATCCACGAATTAGTAAGGGATTTTCTGCTTAAAGAGAACGGCCTTAGCAAGATCTAGCCCGAGTTCGGAAGCAATTTTCAGAGCCAGAGCCACGAACGACTAAAGCAGAACTGCCTCGACTATATAAGCATTGACGTTGTCACACCCTTACAGATCCCTAATAAGCTTCCGAAAGCCTCCTCGCAACAGGCAGCTATCCTACGTAGCTTGGCAGCCCAAAAGTTTCCTTTTCTCGAATATGCCGTCCGCAATGTACTGTATCACGCAGACACAGCAGAAGGCGGAGGCATCTCTCAAGCGTGCTTTCTTAACAGCTTCCCAATTACTCGATGGGTGAAGCTTGACAATCTATTTGAGAAGTTTCAAGTGTGGAGACATAAGGAACGTGTTAATCTGCTATATTTGCTGGCCGAGCTTAACATGGCAAACCTCATTAGGGCTCACCCATTAGTCAGTTCATGTCTAGATGTGGAGAATGAGCGTTACGGTTGCGCCTTCTTCGCAGCCAATGCCACTGGAGGCCAGGAGGCTATACAGGCATGTATTGAAGGCCTCAAGGCCGCTCAGTCAGTGGCTGACCACGGCTGGAGCCAGCTCGAAGAGAATTCTGTACATGAGAAGATAGAAGAAAGTCTAGGCCGCGACTTCAAATATTCTAAAAAAGACGGAATACTCATATATGCAGTGGAAATCGGTAGTATGTCAGTCTGTTCCTACCTGATCGGACTAGGGATTTTCGACCTCGACTCAAAAGATACGAAGGGCCGAACGCCACTGTACGTAGCAGCAGAGAAGGGATCGAGTGTTCTGACTCGAATGCTGTTAGACAAAGGCGTCGACGTCAACGCGCAGGGCGGACACTACGGCAATGCACTCCAGGCGGCTTCAGCTAATGGCCACAAAGACATCGTAACGCTACTACTGGACAAAGGCGCCAACGTCAACGCGCAGGTCGGAGACGAGTACTATTCATGCTCTTCACTCTGTGCAGCTTCAAAGGGAGGCTACAAGGATATCGTAACGCTATTGCTAGACAAAGGCGCTAACATTAACGCTTATGTGGGGTCCGACGGCAATGCACTCCAGGTAGCTTCAGCTAGAGGTCACAAAGATATCGTGATACTACTACTCGACAAAGGCGCCGATATTAACGCGCAGGGCGAAGGTAGTGAAACTCCACTCTATACAGCTTCAGATAAAGGCTACAAGGATATTGCAACGCTATTGCTTGATAGAGGCGCTGATGTTAACGCGGTAGGTGACTTATACGGGACCGCGCTTGGTATAGCTTCAGCTAGAGATGACAAAGAAATGGTGACGCTGCTGTTGGACAGAGGTGCCGACGTTAACGCGCAGGATATGAGAGGCAACAACAACGCACTCTATACAGCTTCAGATAGAGGCCATAAAGAGATTGTGACGCTACTGCTAGACAGAGGCGCCGACGTCAACGCGTATTGCGGGGTTTATGGCAACGCGCTACAGGCAGCTTTAGATAGAGGTCACCAAGAAGTCGCGACATTGCTACTTAGCAGGGGCGCCTTAAGAGTATCGAAGTAGCTTTGTTGTTTTTCGCTGTACAGACTATTGCATATCATCAAGTAATCAACCTGTCGCGCGCTTTGCTACTTAGCCAATTCAATGATAATTGACTTCCACAAATACTATAGTCGATTAATCAAAACCCACTTCATGCGCATATATATTGCGTCTGACAGTTGCTTTGTAAGTATTGAATTTGACGATAGCACAAAACCGCGGAGTGCTCTAGAGTAATAGTAGGGCAGTAGGGCTTCAATATCAGGACCGGAAACCGATTATGCAAGCGAGTGTGAAGTCACAAGCTATATCATTTCGAAAAGTAGGCCTATAATAGCATAAAACTAGTGAGTATCAAGAACTCAAAGCTGCAATGCTGCTTTAACGTTGTAAGCGCTATCATCATGCTAAGCCGCTCAATAAACAAGCGGGTGGAATATCAGCTACTATCATAAGGCTAATAAGCCTGCAATAAAAGTTAGGTCTTAGGCCACGTCGACCTAGAAGGGAGCGACTAATGGGTATTCGTAACCTAGAACGGAATATTTAATAACTGACGTGGTAGACAGCGCAGTGTCATAGTGGTTAGTATTTCCGCTTGTCAAGCAATTGACAAACCGCGGGAGACCGGGGTTCAATTCCCCGCTGGAGAGTAACTATTTCTTTTTTGGTGGTGCAGTATAAAGGTTCCGTCGCCTATGAGGCGGACACGCGCTTTTTTGCTTTGAGCAAAGTTTTTTTTGTTCAACTGTCTAAGAGAGAGAAAAGGCACTGTAGATGCTGTGGCGAGGCTGGGCATAACACGCTCACATGTAAGTACACCTAAGTGGAAACGGTAGATTCCGAATAGAATAGCCTACTAAAATTTCTATTTATTATTGTAGATACGTTGTAACTAATAGTGTATAAGAGTCGTGATGTTTGGTGGGGTTGGCTATGCGGGCTGCTGAGGCCACAGTGCCGCTCATGGTACATCAGTGGCAGTGGGCGCTACGGCTTAGTCATGCCTAGTCAATTGGCGTCAGGAGCGAGTGTTTGAGTGAGAAAAAAAGACTAAATTCCAAAAAACCAAGTTCCCGCTGTGTGTGGTGTTCGTTCTTGGGTGGTTGATCGATGGAGTGTGTCCTACTAGGGTTCAGCCGCGATTTCTGCACAGCTAAGTACGTTTGTTTAAGCGGGTTTGACAGACATTCACCGGTCGGGAGGGGTCTGCACGTCCGTTATTGCGCGTTAGATGGCTTGACCCGTTCAGCTCATGTTATTAGCCAACTGCGTGATAGTGATAGGGGCCTAGAAAAACTTCATTTCTTTGGCGCTGTGACCTTGAAGCAACTTTTGGTTCTATCTAGTGGATCGCGGGGCTGAAAGATATCTTGCAGCATATCATATTAGCTGCATGGATCATGCCATCCAGTGCGCCAATAGCGGATGTGCCGACCCCTCTAGACCAGTCAATGTCTGCTCAGTCATGCAGCTCGCTTGTGAAGACTGGCGTCAGACATCTTTCAGTGCACCATATCGGCGCAAGAGTACCGTATTTGTTTTTTTATGGTAGACTCAGCGACCACGTCAGCAACATATGCATAAGTAGCCCAAGCGCCGGCAATGATTGTAATACTACATGCCGGCTTTCTCCATGCTTTCTCGCGGGTCAGCTCAGGTCCGCAATTCTTGCTCAAGACTGCTCAGATTGTATGGAGTGTATTGATTGACTTCGACATTTGGAAAGACGAAAACAGCAAGTGAGCCCCTGTGCTCACGCATCAGCTAGGTTGCCACACTCGAGGTCGACCGAGCTTCCTTCCGCTCATTCTATTCAACCCGATGCTGGCGAATGCCGTCTTACAGAGCCTCTACTAAACGATGATAAAGTCCCTCGCTATGCGATCCTCTCACATATGTGGGGAGCGGGCTCTGACGAGGTCGCGTTCAATGACCTGACGAACGGCACTGGTACGGATAAGTCTGGGTATGAGAAGATTCGGTTCTGCGCAGAGCAAGCTAGACAAGATAGCTTGGACTACTTTTGGATCGACACCTGTTGCATTAATAAGGAAATCAGGGCTGAGCTGTCGCATGCCATCACCCCCATGTTTTACTAGTATCGCAACGCTGCTCGATGCTATGTCTATCTGTCAGATGTTTCTACCGCTAAGGGGAAAGCAGATAGCGATGATTTTGAGTGGGAGTCTGCGTTTCGAAGAAGCAAATGGTTCACTCGAGGCTGGACACTCCAGGAGCTGCTTGCGCCTCATGCTGTCGAATTCTTTTCCCAGCAATGCAAGCGGCTTGGCGATAAGGATTCACTGAGGCGACAGATCCATGAGATTACTGCCATTCCAGAGGCAGCGCTGCGAGGGGAGCTGCTGTCGCAATTTGAGGTAGAGAAACGCTTTTCGTGGATGGAACACCCCCGGACGACGCGTGAGGAGGACATGGCATATTCGTTGCTGGGCATTTTCGGCGTCTATATCGCTCCTTCTTACGGCGAAGGGGTAGGTATGGCACGCAAACGACTCCGATACCAGATTAAGAAGCTGGAGAAGTGTACGCGAGACTTACACGTCACCGATCCTCGATGTGACAAGGCGCGCATCGAACAGACAAAGGGCGGACTACTTGAGGAGTCGTACCGCTGGATCTTCGGAAACCAAAGCTTCCTCCGCTGGCGTGAAGATCCGAAAAGCCGGCTGCTATGGATCAAGGGCGATCCTGGAAAAGGCATGACTATGCTGCTCTGCGGCATTATCAATGAGCTGAACGATCCAACGGCTAAAACAACCATTCTCTCGTACTTCTTCTGCCAGGCCACTGACTCGCGTATCAACAGTGCAACGGCTGTGCTCCGGGGTCTCCTGTTCATGCTTGTCAGCTAGCAGCCAGCTCTTATATCGCATATGCTAATGAAACATAACAAGACGGGAAAAGCACTCTTCGAAGATGCCAACGCCTGGATTGCTTTGTCTGAAATTTTCACGGATATTCTGCAAGACTGGACCTTGAAAAACGTGTACTTCTTCGTCGATGCGCTCGACGAATGCGTGCAGGGTCTAGACAAGCTGCTAGCTTTCATCGTAAAAGTTTCGTCTCTATCAGCTCGTGCCAGGTGGATACTGACAAGTCGTAACTGCTACAGAATCGAGCAGCAACTACGGCTCGACGATTCTGGAGCGAGGCTCAGTCTTGAGCTGGAGGAAAACGCTGAGCAAGTCTCCCATGCCGTTGACGCTTACATCAACTATCGGGTGGGCGAACTGGACCAAATTCAGCATGACCAGCTGCTCCAATCATTGGTTCGAGAGAAGTTGCAACAGAAGGCGAAAGGCACCTTCCTTTGGGTGTCTCTAGTCATGAAAGAGCTCAAAGATGTTCAGGTCCGGGAGGTAGTGAAGGTCCTTGACGAAGTTCCAGCAGAGCTGACTGACTTATACGGGAGGATGATGCAGAATATCAAGCAGTTGAAGCGCCAGAATCCAGAACTGTGCCTTCAGATTCTCTCCACTGTCATCGCTACGCAACGTCCACTGCATCTGCAGGAGCTTTGCGTTTTGGCGGCCTTGCCTCAACAAGGCTCCAATGTAGAAGAGATGACCATGATGGTAAAATTGTGCGGTTCGTTCCTCGCATTGCGAGAAGACCATGTATATGTTGTTCATAAGTCAGCCAAGGATTTCTTATTGGAAGAAGCGGCGTGTGCCGTGTTCCCGTCCGGGATTGGAGAGGTTCACCGAAACATTTTTTCCAGATCTATCCAGGTTATGTCTGAGAGTCTCCAGCGAGATATGTATCAACTGCATGCGCTAGGATATCCTATCGAGCAGGTAGAACAACTCAACCCTGATCCACTGGCGGCATTGAAGTACTCGTGTATCTACTGGATCTATCACCTCCGCGAATGGATTTCCAACTCATCAACATACGATGGGAGCATTCTTGATGGTGGCGGGGTCGTGGACAGATTTATGAGAGAGAGGTATCTCTACTAGCTCGAAGCCATGAGCCTTTGCAGGAGCATACCGAAGAGTGTAGTCTCAATGTCTAGACTGAAGTCTTTGATTAAAGTAACTCCCTAACAGTCTCCACCCTACCATATAGTCCTTGCTAATCAGAACAGGAGAGGGCGGCTATGTCGTCGACAATCGAGGTGGTTCGAGACGCACACCGATTCATTATGTACCATAAATCGGCAATTGAGAGTAATCCGCTCCAGGTATATGGCGCGCTTCTGTTCAGTCCATCTCGTAGTGTTATACGAGAGCTATTTAAAAATGAAGAACCACAGAATATAGTGATTCAGCCAAAGATGCCAGACCAATAGGGCAGCTGTCTTCAGACGCTTGAGGGCCACAGCTCCCCCGTCTACTCGGTCACCTTCTCTCATAGGTCAGCCTATCTGGCGTCAGCGTCCGACGACCATACAGTCAGGGTGTGGGACGCAGGCAGTGGCGAGTGCGTCCAGATACTGAAGGGCCACACCTCTACTGTCTACTTGGTGGCCTTCTCCCACGACTTGACCCGGGTAGCGTTCGCATCCAAGGACCACACGGTTATGTTTTGGGACATGCGCGCTGGCGAGTGTCTCCACACAATCGATGTTGAAAGGGTCCTCTATCGCATCTCGTTCGACTCTACCGATAGATACTTGCACACTGATGTTGGCGTTCTTAATATCAGGACTATGACCATTTCAACTCAAGTATCAAGAAGTGCAGAAACTCAAACTGCTCAGGTTCAGAGCGTTGCTTTAGGGACAGGTGGTACATGGATAACATATGGTTCAAAAAAATATTAAGGGTCCCGTCAGAATATGACCCGTCTTGCTCAGTGAGTTCAGGAGGCGTTCTTGCTATGGGTACTGGGAACGGAAAAGTATGGCTGTGTAAAATGTCGAGCTCGACGGCACTAAGGAGTGGGAATATGGCCAACCCACTCCTGCGCTGACCTTGCCATAATCGTATGGAACGAGTGACATGGCGGAGAGATACAGAGATAGTTTCTAATGGTAGAGAGCTGAATAAAGCTCTAGATACTATAATATACTACTAAGTACAGTTACCACTCTAACTGCTATGTAGCACTTCATTCCCTAAGAACATAGACATTGAAGAATTACACAGTAGATTCCTCACTTAACAGGAATTTTGGTCTGATATTGCAAGCATTAATCGCTACGAGCTCTCTGTTTTGGATCCACTATAGGAAATGGATAATTAGCGCGTATTGCGTGTGTATATTAAGAACTCTTAAAACTTCCTTTATCTCCTTTGAAAGCTGCCACACTATCTTACTATTGCCTGCCGATCTCGAAAATCTACTCTGGTAAAGCTAGGTGTTTAAATTACGTACACAATTGTTTGCTTTTACGTGATGGAAGTAGTATTTACCTCCTGTGGTGCTGTCAGAAGTAAGGCTTTAGTTGAGGCCCATGCACAAGGCCAAGGAAACAAAGGAAAAGAAAACGCCACAAAAGGCGACACCTCAGGAGATAGCATGAAAAAAAATACCCTTTTCATGATCCCATTATTGAAGACCAATCAAATCTGACAATTAAGAGGTTCACTGACGTCGAAAAACCCGATTACGCAACATGTCTAACCATGCTACGCGAGATGCGACAGTCATTCTGACCGATAGTAACAACTGGACATCGTGGTATCGCCAACTTAAAATCAAATGTGAATCACTAAAGATTTGGGCACTCGTAGATCGCTATATAAAATTAGATCTTATAGCTAGGCTCATTCTTACTAGTACCCTTTATAACTCTACTTTAACCTAATTATTATACTAAGAGTTAGGTTAAATTAAAGTTAGGATACTAGAAGCTTAGTTAGAGGTTAAGTTAGGGTAATAATTATATAAAACTAAACCTAACCCCTACCTGAACTCTTAGCAACCCAACTATAACCTAACCCGCACCCATCTCCTAGTCTACTCTTGCCCCTCTATTAACTAGCACACGTCTTGTATATTCGCCACCGTACAACAGTCTAGCAGGTGGGGATCGGCTATCCTCCCTGCTAGCATTCGGAGGAGGAGTTTGTCAGTTTACCGAAATTGAATAGCGAATATTAATCATTTGCTTCTACACAGCAGAACATTCTCGAAACTTCACTTTTGCGTAACGTACTTTACAGACGAAATGATCCATGAGAATCTAGGCATACCCTTTGGAAACAACGACATTAAAGCTCAATTATTTTCGGTTTCCGTTGCTACTGTCCCATGTAGGTGCGGAGAGCCACCTACGATCTCATCTTCGATCTCACCTTGGATCTCATCATCGATATCATCGTCAACATCATCGTCGATATCATCGTCGACATCATCGTCGATTACATCAGAATAGCGTTTGGCTAAATAACTCTTGAGTGCTTCAGCATTCAACGCGGAAGGTCCAGGTTCTAACAATGATCTGTCAGGATTCATGTAATTGTCCCCTTCATTCTTCGTCGACAATCCCGGGTTTGCCTGTTTGTATGTTCGATTATTTGACCAATCTCGAATGATATCCCATACAGTCGATGCTAGGAAAGTGACTGCCGTAAGGATGGTAGCAAAAAGAAAATAAATCCACAACTTCGTGAGAGCTGGAAATTGCAGCTCTTGGTTTATTTGGAAAAAGGGGGTGCTAAAGAGGGACTATAAGGGGCCGAGATATTAGTACCTCACTAGTATCTATAGCCCTATTAGGAAACTTACAGCGAGAAATGTACCAGGAAGATAGAACATTGACAAATATGATATCTTCATCATGAGCTTAGACGATTCGAGAGCTTGCTGAGACTGCCGTTTCATTTCCTGAGCATCTTCACGGCTACTTTCTGCTATTCTCCGGAGTGCAATGGTATTCCTTTGAGTATATCCGGCGTTTCTAATGATGATCATATCGAGGAACTAATTATATTAGCTATAGTTTAGGAAGCTAGAATGAACTTACTTTTTGACGCTCAGTATTGAAGTAATTCTCAAAGAATTCGAAATTCAAGCGTGTGCTGTCCATTCGTGCTGAAAGCGAATCCAGAATTTCAAAGATCTTTGTTGTTGGACATGTCCGGTGGACTTGAAACATTTCAAACTCCTGTCTCAAATGGGGTATAACACTGTTCAGAGTATCAGAGTAAAACATACTCCAGTAAACACGATGAAGCTGTCTGTCAATGATCTCTATCGGCTCAGTGTCCACAAGTTTATCCGCGTTAGAGTTCAACCACACGGCCTACTGAATTCAGTATTCATGTATCAAGATATACAAGACATGGGATTACCGAGTTGTTTGCTGAGCGTCTAACTCGCTCTTCCTCATTTTCCCATTCTTTTATGCACAGATGCGTGATAAAGAGATGTGGGATCGCCCAGTCCTCAATCTCTGTATTGGTATTGGGTTCAGCATTACAGGCTATCTGCAATGCTTCTCTCGCTTTGCCGATTATGCTCTGGGGACAAAACACCAAGGTACGTGAAAAGGAAGTAGTCGTGTCGTATACGGTGCAAACCCGCACGAAATCGTACATTGCCATATCCTTTTTTGGACGTGAGGTAGTAACGTAATACCAAAAATAGATATTCGTAGCGTCTGTTCGTCGATGAAAGCCCATTGGCACCCCTCTCGTGAGGAAACTTTGCACCACAGCCTTTGGGAACTTCCAATCTTGTACAAGCTGGACAACGTGATCTTTCTCTGCGTCGATTATGCTTTTCGCGTAGTCGTATGCCATCAGTACAACTGAACTCCCTTTCGCGTCATTAAGCTTTTTCGCATTTGTTGCCAGAGTGGATCTTAATTGGTAAACTAGGGGCTGCTGTTTTGTCGTCGATATCCAATCGTAGTCGTCGAAGGGGTCTTCATTGCTAAGAAAAAAGTTATCCATGGCAGCAGAGTTGCAAAATAGATACAGAAATTGACTGGTACAATAGATGTTATTGAATTTACTGTTTAAATGGCTTAGGAAATGGCGGCAAGACAGTTTTATATACCTTCTGATAAGCTAGGAGGAAGCGTCTTTGAGCCCGTGCTTATGGCTGCGCAAGGCTTAGCTCTAGTAGTTCGCCTCGCAGGTTTACCTCGCAAATTCGCCTCGCGAATTCGCCTCACCAGGCAACCTGTACAACCTCAAAAGTGGATCTTCTATAGTAAGAAGCCAGTCAGTATTGACGGTTAAGCGCTGCGATCCTGTTGTCAGGCGATAAGCGCCACCAACATGCTGAGATTCCTAATATGGAAGGGGGTGAAACACGAGCTGCTTCAAGATTAATATACCTTAGAACAGGGAACAGTTCTTGGGCTACAGTAGCCAAAGTAGGTAAATTAACAGACGTCGGTATCCTAAAACGGAGAATTCTATAGAAATGATGGCAAACATCACAGTGACATAGTGGTCAGTATTTCCGCTTGTCAAGCAATTGACAGATCGCGGGAGACCGGGGTTCAATTCCCCGCTGGAGAGCTTTCCATTTTTTGTCTTTTTTGATGGTAGATGCGCTAAGAACACGCCCACCTGTGGGGGTTTACTCGCGTTTTAGACGAGTAGTTTTTTTTTTAAAAAAAAATATAGTTAAGTGTAGTTATATTACATATTACCTTGTAACACAAATGCGGGGTCCTTTAAGTAGTTCCTCAATGGTTTCGCAATAAGGCTTATGAAGCCTGGTCTAACCACGTTACCTGGGTTCTGCGGGCTCAGCTGAGTAGCGCTTAGAGCCCTATACCCGAAGCTCTTACGGCACGGCGACTTCGTAGTAATCTTATCTACTTTAATCAGAGCTCTTTTGGAGCCATATTCAGCGATTGAATTAACCTAATGACTCTATGGCTCTCAGGGATCTGTAGATACATGCAACTCATCACATCCTAGATCTTGATAGTGTTGTGTCCTAGCGCCGACGCCAGCTGGGCTGAGTCCTGCAAACTAATGTTCTAGCTAAACACCTTATCTGCATCGATGAAATGCACGTGTTAAGAGATACACGAAGTGGTGCGCGCAGAAGCTGGTAAGCTGTAGAAGTTAGCTGAGATTGTTTTTGAAAGAGGGATCGGGCGTCTAGAACGAAATCTACGACTAAGGCAAGGCTGTAAGGTATATTTATAGTTTCTCGTTAACCTAACATAGCGCTGTTATCGAATTCTAAGTATTGAACACCCATTTTGTGAAAGATTTCTAAATTTTTATCTTTTAGAAAAGCGACAACACTACAGTTTCTACAGAGTATATCGTGAACATGATAGATGCCGATCTAAGTACCGCAGACAAAGATGGTCGGACACCGCTATCGGGGGCAGCGGAGAAGGGTGAAGAGGCAGCTGCGAAGTTTTTGCTCGAGAAAGGCGATTTGGATCTTAACGTAAAGGATAATAATGGTCGGACGCCTCTGTTATGGGCAGCTATGAATGAACATTGGCGCGAGACTGATTTTTTGCTTAACAAAGTCGCTGGTCCAAACATCGCGGATAAACGCGGTTGGACGCCTCTGATATGGGCAGCTTGGCGAGGGAGCGAGGAAGTAGTAAAGCTCTTGCTTGACAGAGGCGCCGATCCAAATACCGCTGACAAGGACGGTCGGACACCACTATCGTTGTTAGTGGAATGCAGGCGTTAGGAGATGCTGAAGTCTTTTCTTCAAGACAACGACATTAAGCCCACTTTCTCTCTCATCGACACTCATTGGGCTCCTGAATTCGCGATCTTGCTTAGCAGCGAGACTTGGGAACACATACGCAAGCATATGCCTGGAGAGCTACGCTAGGATTTGGAGTATGCGGAACCGTACCAATCATGACCGTGTTGGACACTTACACCATCGCCGTCTCTATCGTTAGGCTCGACCTCTCTCACGATAGCTTGAGCCCCTGTGATTATTCCGGTTAGCTATAGATACGATGTGAGGCCAGCGTTGAGTCCTCCGGACCCGCATCCAGAACTCATTTCGCCAAGCATACCGCTCAAGCAAGAGATGATTGATGCAATCCTCGTCACATACGATAATCCTATAGATTTCTACGTTCTCGCGAATGGCTGGCTACAGATCATTGTCAACGAAGACTTCGACTCTACGTATGCTTTATCCCATCAACCACAAACATTCGGCGGTTTGAGAGTCAGTTATATTCAGCAGACACTTCGTCCTAGTGCGAGCCGGATAAGTGAGGGATCCAGTGTAGGAACAACTAAGTCATCTGTTTCGAGTACTTTCTCATCACAGTCTGCTACGCCATGCTCAACAGGACCTACTCAACAGCTACGCATCGGTGGGGTGATCAAAGCTAAAGTGAAAGACTCAAAGAAAGACAGTGGTAAGTTCCAAGAAAGAATTGGAGTCATGACAGAGTGCGAGAACCGATTATATGTCACTGTTCCTACTCATCTAATCACTGAAGCATGGTTGTCAACCAAAAAAAACGAGCACTTTTGATGAGTCATGGAAAGATGACATTACTCTGTACACAGAATGTCGTACTGTAAAGGTACGTATCACCTCGTATTCTATTTTCCCGTGGAAGCTTATAGTTCGCAGAATGCTAAGATAGCCCGTACATTCGATCCTGAGGCCCAAATCTTTCCCATTGGCTTTCAGCATAATACAAGCTTGATCAACATCCCAACATTGTCTGGCCTTCGTGGTGTACTGAAATACCCTTATACTACTGGTTGGTTATCGAAGGACGAATAGAATAACCTCAGAATTGGCGATTCTTCTGCGCTTTATTTATTGAGCGATTCTGGGGATAATTCTCAGAAATACGCAAGAAAGCATTCCCTTCCTAGATTCTAAGAACCTTGTACGTTCATGTAACTCGTATCAAAGAGAGTGTTAACCCTAATTCAACTCAAAAGATAATCGGCAGAGCTATATTCAACTCCCGGTGCAAAAAGCCCACTGTGGAACCAACTATTAGGATCTCGTTCACTTGTATGTACCTTCTCTTACGACTTTTACGAATTGTTGTTACCTCAATAGCAGCTGGAAAGGCTATGCGATCTTTATATGATAATGCTAACTTGTTCAGCTATCAGTTACGGTTTCAGCTCGGTTAGCGCTTTAGTGGTTATTTAGTGCGAACTTAAGCTATACTAAATCTTACCACGACGCCAGAAAGGCTTCCACTTCATTTCTTTCTACGTTAATCAAGTCTTAGAGGGATTCACGACCAACTAGAACAGGATCCGCTGGGAAAACTAGAATCAAGGGCCCTTAACTAGCTAGGCATAGCCAAGCCCTCCGTGTATCCAGCGGGAGTAGCTTGGCTTAATGAATTGGTGTGTCGAGCTGGCCTTACGATAAGAAGGGGAGGAAGCGATGAGCGAGCGTGTTGCCCCAAGCGCCAAGCGGAGCGTCGTTATGCAGGATATTTTTGTGCGTATTCTGATAACCCATTCACTGAAATATTCGCATGATAAAAAGCGAACACCTACACGTAGCAAGAGCGAGCACTTACACGTGATGCCTGCCCTTGTGGTACACATGGCCGATAACGCAGCTCAGCTCTTAGAGGAAGTTACCATCTTCACGAATGGTTCTGAAGAGGTGGTGGAACAAATCCAAGCAATGTGTCCGGAAACACCGTCCGGGGTGGATAGGTGTCCCATTTATAGCTTAGTGAACGTCAAGCGAGGTGTCAAGGTCGCTTTCACCAACGGAAACACGAAGGAATTCCGCTTCCTGGTCCACAATCCTTTGACGTATTCTCAAGGACCATTTGCAACCCAGCTTGGCTTGGCTTTGTCGTAGATAGGAGATGTCAAGGCCGATGCACCAGCGTTTCAGACGTCCGAGCGAGGAGTGTTTACAGTGGGCGATTGCATCTCGCCTTACAAGGTGATCCCGCATGCCATTATGATAGGGAACTTTCCTGCTGTCGCGGCGGCAACACAACTTTAGGCCGAGAAACATGGACATTTTTCGATGGTGTGATGGATTGAACATATCATGAACTATGTCAGAGACTAAAGGCGGGTATATGGAAATATGAGAGATCTACTTTTTACCACGGTACCTTACGCGAGATGCAAGGCACTTGTGGTACGTGATCGAATGAGAAGCCTCTCATAGCACGTTGCCAATGGTGGCACAGGCTCTAGTAAGAGTTCCTTGTCGTCTAGTATGACTACTCCACATAACAATGTTGATAGGGAACTCTACAACACGAACAACAGCTGGATCAGAAATGCGACCTGCGGAAGCAAGAAGGTATCATCTTGTAGAAGCTGATTAATACTTGAAAAGTCTTGTATGCTGAGTTCAGCCCGTTCGAGTCAGAAAAGATCTCATTGCATGTCTTAGGTGACCAACTTCTGAACGAGATAAATTAGTGGGATATCAGGCCCGTATGAGAGGTGAGACTTCTCTATGGGCGCTCGCTACAAATCTCCTCGAAAGGCCGAATCAGGGCAGCGGTCTGCGCTTTGTCACCCGCTGCTAAAAGGAGATATAAATTGTGCGTTTTCGATCAGCGCTAATACACTATAAGATTAGCCCTATTTATATACAGTCTATAGTTTGTAGGCTGGTAAATAGGTCTCCACCTCGGGATCGTTTTTTTTAATTGTGTCTACCAGTTCTTACCCAATTAGGAAGTTTAGTAGCTTATTTTGTAACCCTAGATTAGAAATTTATTCTTGCCTAATAGAGTAATAGGCTAGCTCTAATAGGTAAGACGTTATTTAAGATCGGAGTAAAATGTAGAGACCCGACTCTTGGCACAACGGGTTGCTAAACAACTTCTTACCTATTAGAGCGAGCCCATTACTCTATTAGGCAAGAATAAATTTCTAATCTAGGGCTATAAAATAAGCTACTAAACTTCCTAATTGGGTAAGAACTGGTAGACACAATTAGAAAAAACGATCCCGAGGTGGAGACCTATTTACCAGCCTAGGGCCAACCACGTCCACGTCAGAAGGTAATGACTATTGCGGGGCTTAGAGTCACGTCATGTGCCATCCCGCCAAAGGCTGGCCATACGGGATGTCAGTGCATAAAGGGATGGCAGCGTGTAAGAAACCCGTAGCAGCAAGCAGTATATGGAGAAATGTGAGATTGATCCACGCTTCCTATCTCTAGTATTAAGCGCTCTTCTTATACCTATAGGTTTTGCAAGTCAGTCTTCTGTTTCGAGCTCAAATGTGGTGAATAGTGGAAAGACTGACTAGGTTATGTGACCGAGCTTTTACTAGACGTCTAAGAAGGTATGCATAAATCGATTTTAAGTCAAATCCATTCTAATCAGCCTGGAGTAGCTTTTGTCGATTTGAGAGATAAAACGTTTCTTTTCTACACATTTTGCTTGGGATTAAAATAAATGGGGCTCAGTGCGCACATTGCGACTTATACCCTCTAACTCCTGAGGAGCGTTGTTTGCCATTAGTTCCGCATTTTCACGTTGACCCAGTTCCCCATATCCATGATTCGACCACAATTCATGTGCATGGACACGTGACTGATGCATTTCCCCCTTCGCCAGATCTGTGTCCAGCGTACTTTCGTCTGAAGAACTGCCGTCTCCTCCACTGGAATTTCTCGACCTAGATATCATCCATGATATTCCTGCTGCTAGGATCACAAAAACTGCTATACCCACCCCGATACCAGCTTTTGCGACTGCACTAAGACCACCTGATGAGACGTTCCCCTCGAGGACAGAAGACGGGGTAGGAGTCAAGGTTGACAATGTTATGGCTGAGGAACTGGGCGTTGCTGATAGAAAGGGCGTTACTGAGGGCGTTGCTGAGATAATAGTCGATATAGGGCCCACAGTTGCTGCGAGTTCGAAGATGTTGCTCTCATCATTACAACAAGTTTTCTCCCCACAGCACCAATTTTCTCCTCCACAGTTATGGACGCCCACATTACCCCACTTGTCGGCGTACTATATTATCTTCTTAGCGATATCCTAACGTGAAGTATTTGGCAGTATACCTCTGGCTTGTTGCACACGTCTCCAAGACAGTAGGGACTGTTCCACAGCGGGTCTGTACAACCTTGTCTTGACCAAACTTGCTCACCCTCATTATTCCCATTATACACCGCATAGTTTTGACAAAGACCATTTTCCATACACACATCATCTGCAATGCCAATGTCTCCAGCGCCGCTATGGTTCGTCATGCAGCATGCGGAATATTTTGTCGTGTTGTTGCATGGTTGAAAGGCCGCATTGAGGAGAGTAGTGCCGTTACGGCTGTAACAGTAGCCGGCTGCACTAGTAATCTGTGATATGACTAGAAGGAGATGGAAAGCCATCATGAAATGTAAGAACGTTCAGCGGGGATTGAAGACTACCTGTACTAAAGTGTGGGTTGAACTAAGCGTGCGAGGATGAAAGTGTGCCTCAGCCTTGGACCTGGTGACTTGCTGAGAATCCTTCGCTAGCCGAGGTTGCGAAACCTGTGTATATAGTAGCAAGCTAGTGTGGCCAAGCTATTGTTGTTTCATATACGCGCGGACTATAGCAAATCATGTCTTTAGATGCTCGTGGAATCCATTGGGAATAGAACATAAGCGCCAGCTCTACTGCTTCTCTAGAGCGCGCTTAGCTACCGTCAGACAGGTGGCAACGGAAGCTGCAGAATCCGGGAGTGGATCGGAACACCAGGATTCTATATACACCCAATCAGAGCCTTTTCGTCAAGGCTACCCCACTCCCCAAAAGTCTACATTGGAGCAACATAGACATCAGAGAGTAAAATGTGATAACGTATCCCAAGGGGTTAACCACGCACACGGGTTGGCCGCGCGCGCTGGCTGTCCCCTGCTGATCTTCTAGTGAACCTAATACTTCTGCGCAAGCTGCATAAACTCGAAAATGTATCCCGAAAGGTGGATGTGCCTAAGACGATTGCTAAGACACCTTGACATAACGTACACCAGCATGTAGACGTAGTCCTTGGCCCCATCTGAGCCAATTGAACAACACCAAGTAAATCCATTACCCCCCACCCCAAGAGCCTTTTTCGTATTTCAGGGGAATGTCGCATGCATAGTAGAGTCAGTGCTCTGTCAGATGCTGGATCCTGGCGCTAAGGTGGCCACCACGAAAGCAGAGTTGCCGTGGGGCAGCTACTAACTAGTGTGGCGCTGCCGAGCGGGTAACTGTGGCGGCCCTTGCACTGCCCTCAGATGAGGGCCAAATGCAGCCGCATCGTTGCCTACTCATATCAGCGTGTCTGCTATGGCGCAATGCCAAAAGCCAAAAAGGACAAGTGATCAGAACAAATAAGCGTACAGTATTGTAGTGTACAAGCTAGCTAGCTAGGCGAGTGGACTATAATACATCAGACTGGCGCCAAGGCGCTATACCCAGACGGGTAAGGGCCAAGGCTGCCATAACATAGAGTATGATTCAACGTGACTCATATCCATTTCATTTACCAAGTCAGTGCACAAAGCTTCTGGCGATTTACCTGAATTTGGTCTGGCTTCTGTCGTATCATTGTCTGTTGTTCGCTTGCGTCTGACTCAGCATCCGGATCTACCCCAGTCGGTAGTGCCAGAAGGGCAATATCTTCCATGTGTCAGGAAAAATGGTTCAGGACAGTGCTTTTCCTATTTCCTGACGTATCCTGACAAAAAGGACATTTAAATGCTTCCCAAGTGGGTCCAAAATTGTGTTCTAGTTCTAGATGATTTATCCATACCTGACGGCTTGGGAATGGATTCGTATTGAACCGGCATTCATAATAGAAGCAACTGTCAGGTTTTAAATCGGTATCGAGGTGCTTTCGATTCGTAGTAGGTGCTATACTAGTAACCCGTCAAGTCCTATCTTACCTCCATTCACGATTGTTCGTTGCCTGCACTAGCTTTCCACACGCAGTGCACTCGAAAGGAAGACCGTTCTTTCCTTCCACTGGTAGTGGTAGAATCCGGACTCGCTCACCACCTGATATACTGGTCATGAATGAAACGGGGCTTCCTGATTAGGATGTTAAAGTGAGAAACCGCCCACACGCATATCAACGACTCGTGGCTGTGATCAGCCGGATCGCATTCCTTTTCAGTTTCATGACTTAACGCGCCTTGAAAGCGCTACCCTGGTTCTTGATAACCAAGACTGGTCTCCGGATACCTTGTCGACGCGGCACAGATCGTGTGTGAGTTGAGATGTGCTAGTGCAATTTGCTTAGTACTTTTGTGGCTAACGTGGAGAAAATCTACACAGCTGTTTTTTTCCCGCGGCAGAAGATGCAGGAGCTCGAGGAGCAATGCAGCGCTATTGATCAGACCATAGAATATCATAGAAGTATCACCTAGGCAGGATCAGCAAAGTTGCGCACTTCCAACTCATTAGATCATTCATACCAAAGAGCAGGTTGCCGAGGATCCCTCTACGCATGGTCGTCCTCCCCAATTCTGTTTTTGTTATCCCAGGCGCAGCTTCACTCTTGAAGGGGCCTATGAGCCTGTAGAATGTGACAAAGCTGGCACCGAAGTAGTATACCAGCAGCACTTTTAAATCAAGTGTCCGCCACAGCTCCATCAATACTGGCGCGCCCCCAAAGTCCTTTGCGAGAATAAGCACGTTTGTGCTGTGGTCAACATCTTATCTGATACGGGCAGTATCGGGTGTAAGCAGATGATCATGTGGAGGGTCGGTCGGCATCATCATCCAGTAAAACAACAAGAAGAGGAGGCTGAAAAACGTTGAAAAACAAACGCTGAAAATACGATATGAGAGATGTCTGAGCTGCTTCTGTCGCATATAAAAAGAAGCTGGTGAAAGAGGCTAGAGAAGTGCGTAAATTGGCCAAAATAGCGCGGCAGGTGAGTGAAGCAAGGGCTGCTGAACTAGCTGTCCCGCGCGCCAAAAAAGAACAACAATGCGCTAGTTACTTTAAATATGAAAAAATCTAGCGATCGGTGAAATACAGCTACGCAAAATGTCTCTGCTTCTAATAAGTCAAGAATATCAAAACATGGTGGTATTGCGCGCCGCCAAAGTAGTGGTGAAACTACACCGCCGCCCGCCCAGCCCACCATGCGCGGCCGCAATATAAAACTAACTAAGAAATTTGAGTGAATAGCAATATAACGCAGTATTATAGTACTACTCTGCTTAGAAAAATCACCCGATCTTGGTTTTTTCGTGAGGCTCTGTAGCCTTGATTTTGGTGGCACCCAAATTTGGTGGAGTGTTGCAATTAGTGAACAGTTGCAAGCTTTGACCACTTACTACACTACTTTGTACTATAACGGATAATGGTCACTTGAAACAGAAATTTTAACGGACAAGATGGCAACCAGCACAGTTACATAGTGGTCAGTATTTCCGCTTGTCAAGCAATTGACAGATCGCGGGAGACTAGGGTTCAATTCCCTGCTAGAGAGCTCATTATCTTTTTGGGTGGCGCATCGAAGGTTTTCGCCACGAGGTACATGCGCCCTAGGCTAAGGCGAGGGATTTTGTTTTCTCATTTTTTTTAATTAACGAGTTCTACAAACGAGTGAGCTATCTCACTAACTTTACGCACCTCTCTTATTATAATATATAATCACTCTACTAAATCTAGTTATTCTAATATAACTACCTCTTTCAAGGTTTATAGTATTAGTTCTTAAAAAAGATTAAGTTCAAACTAAAAAGCGCACTGTAGCTACGTTTAATATCTCTCGCGTTACTTTCTACCGCCAACGCGCTAGTGTTACACGGGGTTGGGTGCTGATACTTCTCTAAGCTTAATCTAGATTAGAGTAAGTAAGATAGTATAAAGAGCGCTATAAGAGTTTATTTAGTAATATAGTAGAGTAGTATACTTATATAGAAGATAATAAAGATTTAATAACTACTAATCTATATTAAATAGACTAATAAGTAATAATTATCACGGCGCTATCTGACATAGCAGCGGACTGGCAGCTTCCAGGTGCCTAGCGAGGCTGGAATCCCCCGGGTGGCCGTTAGGGCCACAGTGCTAGCGAGGTAGCTGCCGCGCATCCTCCTAATTAGCTGCCGGTAGATTCTAGGTGCGGGCCTAAGCACCTAGATTCTATAAAACTATAGCGCCGTAGTCTAGAGAGCTCTTTAAGCTACGTCCTATCTTCTACTCTTACTACCTATAGCAACAGCCTATTAATTAGCTGTAGCAATAGACCCTGTACACGTACCTGTCCTTCCTGCCTATAAGCCTGAACTATAACAATAATCTTGTTAAGTAAAGTAACTAGTAAGAAAGTATAATTTAAGTTAACTATAATAAGAGTAAATAATAAAATCTATCTATTCTTTTATCCTTATTACGTCTAGTTCTATCTTCTTTAGCTTTTTATCTTAGCGGGAGGTTTAGGAGGACGTTAGCCTCTCTATTTATAGTAGCCTCCTAGAGGCTATGCCTTAGCGGGATACTAAGTCACGTAATTTCGCCCTACGATAATCATCCTACCCGTTAAGATCCCTAGTGGTCTCCCAACCATTCATCGTCATACCCAGAGAGAGGATCCTTCCTGCTATTACTTATAATAGCTAGCAGGCCTACCTAACGTGATTGCTAGCCTAACTTAAGGAAACTTACTAAACTAGAAGAAGAGGTAATAGTTAACAGACCCAGGCATGTAAGCTAAAGTATAAGAGTAAGTAAGTGTTTACGCGCTACAGTACGCAGCAAATACGCGTAAAGTACGTGGTCGGTCGGCCAACATTACCTACTACCTTATACTAAGGCGTACTGTGCAACGCTGTTACAGCTCGTAATAATAGATATAGAGAGAAACTAACAATAAGAATCGATTCAGCGAACTTATCTTGACAACATAGCTTACGGAACAGTATTATCACAGCGTAGTTATAATAAAGGAATTTTAAAAAGTAATACTTAAGATTTGTACTGTATAGATTAGTGTACAATTGTTACTGCGAAGACGCAAATTTTCTTATAGCTACGACAGTACAAATGTATCTATTTAGGCTTATTAAGTAGATTTTTTACATTTTGAGAAATCACTCTCTACTAAAGAAAGAGGAGAGTTAGAGGAACAGCGCGTGTTCACTAATGGAGAAGGGAGCGTAATAACAAGCAACAAGCAAGCCAATTGCGACAATGAAACTCAATTAAGTAAGAACTGGATTATATCAAGCTAGTTTATTACTGGATATAGCTAGATCGTTGCAATCGGCTTTCTTGTCGACGAGTCTGGTCCTTCAGCCATATCATGGACTCGATGGTGTAGGCTTTTTTGCACAGGCTCGGTTCACTTCAGGTTCTATTTCTAGCTCTAGTTGCTATAGTACTACCTATTTATTTACAGCGTTAGGGAGTGGCCGATGTCACAACGCTAAGAAGGTATCACTAACGCCTCTGACCACCCCCTGTTACCACAAAATGTTAAGCGAGTCAAGCAAGCTCAAGTTTTTGGTCAACAATTGACTAAAATTACTTGGTTGAGCATGCCATTTTCAGCAAGGAAACTTGATTGCTTGAATATGAGAAACTCAATCAAATTCAAGCAGGTACTTGACCCAAACTTGATCGTTAACAACTCTGCTCATGTAGCGGCGGGCCTCCGATGAATACTTTGAAGAAACGGCAATGTTGCTCGAATACATGTTCGTGCCCCAGTCAGTTCCAGTAGTACAATCATTATTCAAGTTGTCAATAGTAGCACTATGAGTGACCTAAAAAGAAATACAGTTCGAGGTAGATCTGAAGGAATGTGTTTGTATTATGGGTCATCAGGCATGATCATAGTAATGTAGTAGCTAGCCCCTTCGCCATGTCATCTCTATGCTGATTCAGGTGACAGACCATGGAAGACCTCTTGTAGGCGATCACATATTGATATAGCACTCTCCGTTCAGCGCAGTGGGTGGGCACGAACCAAAGTTGCACGGCGACGGTACAGATTGAATGCATGATACACAGTTGTACTGATAGCAGTCATCATTCTCATTGCAGACAGCACCCTCGACACAATCTGCCCGGCCCTCAATCAAAGCTCCGGGTACCCTGATGTTCTTGGACGTTTTCGCATTTGGTGTGCGTGCGACCATCGCGTTGAGAACAGCCCACAGCTGAGCATCGGACGTTACTGCGCGGCCGTCACTAAAGGCGACATTAGTGTTCAGGAACTGTGTAAAATAGGTAGGTAGATGGTCTTGCTTACATGCCTGGCACGAAAGCACGCTTCTTGTCGTATTTTGCGAGGAACTCGGCAATCTGATGCTCACTGAGTTGAACGTAGTCGATGACGGTGTCACGGGCGGCGTTCAAACTGCGCAGCACTCCGTCTTCTCCAGGATGCGTTACACCATCGCTTGGCTTGAGGATCTTGAATGCTTCAGCGAGCGACTTGAAATGTACCATTAGTATTCCATCGGATGCATCCATCTCGTTTGAGCGCCTACCGGCTCGTCTGTGGCAGCTGCTGCCAGCAGAAAGGTCGTGCTAGCGGACAGGATAAACGTGAGCTTCGTATTGAAGGTAGGAGCTTGAACATGAAGTCTGGTAGAATGTTAAATGATATATTGAGTTATACAGGTGAGATGTGCGATAAGTCACAGCGAGTGGGTGCTTTATATATCTCGACTAAGAGCTACTTCCTTCCCCAGTCCCGCTGACGACACTAAAGCGGTACCTATACTTTGCAGTACACTCCTCTTACCGGTGTACGTAAATTACTGCAGGTATGAGGCACCGTATCAGCGAGGCCGGCGTAGAGATATAGGATTCCTGTGTGCTTGAGGCACAGCTGCATAGCTCTATTCCTGCATCACACTCTCCTCTCCCCTCACTGCTGCACGTAAATTGCCACGGGTGTGGGTATACACATATTTGTTACTGTTTTTCCTGTCTCATGACCGCGGGTGTAGCAATCCACAATGGGTGTAACAATGCCTTCCCGTTTGATGTGTTAAACTATTAGTGGTTTGTTTCGTAACACAGCAGCACGTTGAGTAGCGAGATAGAACATAGCAACATTAAAGAAACAACACGTTTAGTCGTTATCACCCCTACAATCGTACAGAGCCCTTCCAACAGCAGGCATTGCGAACGAAACGTTCTACTATGAATAGCTCCATCGTCTTTAGTTATTATTGCAACTCGTGTTGCTTGTGTTACCTTAATTGGTTTATGTGTATTCGCGCAGCTGATTTGCTAGTTTTCGCCACGCTACGTCATGAAGGAGCCGATCCGTCAGCAAGAAATGTGTCGCTTATAATATGATGGACACTACTAACATGCCTCACCCACGGCCAACCTAAGCTCCTGTTACTACTATACGTATCCATTATAGACTACTCTTATTTAGATTTTACCAGAGTCTTTCATCGACATGCGTTTGGAGAAGTGATAAGCACTCGAATCCTTCCAGCACTAAGGACAAGACAAACATGTCATCGCCAACGGCACAGCTGCCACCTACCCAAGAAGGATCTGAACATGGAGATCAAGGTTCAGACCAGCTTGAGCTAAGACGATCGGCTCAGAATAAAGACAGCAAGAGCGTGACTCTGCGGCCTGCCCATGTCGAGACTGGAAAAGAGCAATTTAATATCCTGGTCAGATCAATGCAGACACCAGCAGATAGGAAGTGCATCTCTATGGTTTGCACCGATGGAGTCTACAGGATTCTCCACTATTTACCCACACCGCCCAATCTACCAACTGAATACGAAATATACGACGCGAAACCCATGTCACCAGCGATGATCAAGGCTTATCTTGACACACGACGTTGGAGCCAAGCGACGGAAGACCAGTTCCGTGGAGCCGATGGAAGAACGATCCCGCAGGAGTCAGTGACCTAATGTGTACACTCCATCTTTAAATATTGACTAACCCGATACGAAAATTTCTAGACAGTGGTTGAGGCCTCCACCAGGCATTATTCCACCAATGGGCTCCAAGAAAGAGCGCGATGATAACATGAGAAAGTATCGCGAGGAAGAGGAGCAGTCAGAACAGAAAATCGCGCGGGGAGAGATCAGCCCAAAGGAGCCCATGGCGTGTAACAGCATCAAAAGTGACTATGATCTGAGCCCTCGCTAGGCGTGGGCTGTGGCTACGTCGGACCACGAAGGTCGATGTATATTACTCAACTAGGAACTGGGAATAGCGAGGTCAAATAACATAGTTATAATGCTGATGTTAGAGTCGCCACTTTAATACGCACAAGAATGAGAGCGAAACTATTATAGATGTTGTAAGACCTTATTAATCGACATGTACAAGTAAACTCCTGCTATGCAGATCTTGATGTTGTTATGCTTATTGGGGAGTCTTTGTTAGTTCAACGTAAGATTAGCCGTCAGCGCTGTCTGTGAATTATGACATCACTATTACAGCACCATCAATCCTCCAATGTAGGTGCTCATGTGTGCTTGGTGGGCGGTAGGTCTCCGTCAGTCAGTCCTCAATACGCTTCTTATTGTCGTGCGGGTTACTAGGGGGCAAGTCTCGAGCGCACTTGTTCTGCTTGTCGACCTCATGTATAAATCGTTTCATTGCTTCAGCTGGGCTCTCGCCGCCAATAGCACATTTGCAGGATCGATCTTGCCCGACGACTCCTCCTTCGCCATATACTATGAAGATGACAGTCATTGCGGCTTCCAGCACTGCAGGAATCGTATTTGGGCCTCTTATAGCTGCGAAGGCTGCCTTTAGCGTCGCCTACGCTTAGGGCGCCGCGATTGCTAGAGTTGTCGCTGGTGGACCTTCTGCAGCAGTGCCCGCTGCAGGTATAAATGCAGCACTTGTAAACGGCGCTGCGACTGGCGTCGTGACAGCCGCTTCAAGTTTGTTCACTGCTACTGGTATTGGCACGGTCGGCGGACAGGCAATTAGAGTGGCCACGCTCTATGGTCGAACTGCTGGTGCCGTTGGTACGGGAGCTATGAGCGCTGTTAGGAGTGGCGTAATAACCGGTGCTATATTAGGAGGTCAGCTATATTGGTGTCTCTAGTTCTTCCGCGCACCATGCTGAAGATGAAAACTAGCTTTATCAAGAGAATGTAGTAACAAGAAACTTTATTTTAACTTGGTGAAGGTGTGTTATCTGTAGGAGGTGGTACAACAGACGCAAAAACGAAAGAATAGAAGAGAGAGAAGGAAGGGGGGAGAGGAAGACGAAGGAAGGTGAGAGGGTCTCTGTTATGTGGCCGTGTATCCATTGGGGCTTTCAAAACAGCGTTAGTTTCTGCATGGAGTATCTTCCTCCATATTGCCGTATGCTAGAACTGGTCACCAAAATAGGAATTTAGTATAGCTTGGCAAGTTGTAATTCTAAAAGGGGTTTACGTTGCAGTAACCAAAAACAGAAAATCAACAGATATGTGTCACCCAATACAGAAAATTTAGTGGACATGCTGGCAAACAGCACAGTTACATAGTAGTTAGTATTTCTGCTTGTTAAGTAATTGATAGATCGCGGGAGACCGGGGTTTAATTCCCCGCTGGAGAGCTTTTCTTTTTTGGTTACGCAACGAAAGTTCCGTCGCCACGAGGTATACGCATCCTGCGTCGACTCAGGCGATATTCTTTCTTTTTGTTCTCTTTCTTTTTTGGATATCTAAAGGAGAACAGGAAAATCAGTGCTCCAAACTTAATTGTCGCGATATTACAGCAGGTTTGGCACATAGGAGGTAGGTAGCAGCCTTCCTCTAGGGATTTGATCGCGTTGCGTTGAAGATGCTATTTAGCTTGCCTCTACTAGAATTAAAGGAGTTGAATACTATATAAGGGTCTCTCTACTTCCTCTCATATCCACACTATTAAAGATAGGGTTAGGAATCTATTCTGGAGAACGTCTAGCCTTAAACATAACTTATTAGCAGAGTGAGGGTGTTAGATTGTGATAGTTTTACTAACAAGTATATAGTAATAGAGATCAATCTCTTATAGCTTAGTATATTTAACTCAAGTTACGAGTATAAGTATGATATAAGAGTTACTTGTAGATATACTATTTATATTACTCTGTTGCTTTATCCGCGATAGCTAACTTTAGAATCTTGATACTAGAAGTCTCATATTACTTCCACTCAAGATCCACTCTTAACAGTTCTTTTCCGCGAGTATTATTGCTAATCGTATTGTAAGCTAAGCACTCTTTACGAGCTGGCGTATTGTAACGTTTATTAGAATCTCTAGCTGCCGGCGTGGTCGCTCTTAGAGATAGCGTATCTGCGCTGCTGCCTGTGCTATACTATTATTATATATAATCGTATGTAGTAGAGATAGTATTCTAACTACTATGAGCGACGATAAAACACGATATAGATAAGGAAGAATAAGGTCCATCGTCTAAAAGCCTGCCTGGATATTGTGCTGCGTAACGACTGTTGGCTAGATTCGTGTATAGGCTGTAAGGAAGTTCACCTTATTAATATAGTAAATCGTAATAGACCCCACACTTCATCCAAGCTATAATCACAACCTGTTGACCTACGAACAAACACCTAGATATCAGCGAAAACCGAAAAACCGCATATATCCGAGCTGCCATTGTAGCCCGCTCTACATCAAAGCGCGCGCATCTTCCTTCTTCGCGCACTGAACCCACTCCCACCATCACCCGTGGACCGAGCTACCCTGTTATTCGTCTGAGCGCATAAACACGCAAACCACTCTTCAACATGGCGCAAGCCAATCCCTCCGCACTGAACGAGCCCTCCACATCCTATGTCGACCCCACGTTCTCACTAGTAAACACATCGTGTCCCGATCTCTTACTTATAGAGCTTGTACCTATGGCATATCGCATAACAGCCGATCCCACCGCACGAGAAGAGGAGTGGGTTCATGGATCGTCGGCCACAAAGCCAAAATGATTGTCGGGCACAAGCAACGACACGTCAAGCACGGCAGCAGGCACAGCAAGAGGAACAGATGGCGGGCCTGTGGGGGAGGAGGTGCTGCAACAGTGGACGAGGAAGAAGCAAGAGAAGCTGTTTTTCATCGACTAGAGAACTTAGGGTACAGGGTCGGATTGGGTGGGGTTGAACGGTACATCCGTCCCTCAAGTCATACTTGTGCCCTCAAGATCACTGCTAACATTTGACACAGATTCTCCCGAGAGGCACCTCGATCAACAGCACCTCTCGACTGCATCAAGTTTATTTGCAAAGATCTCTGGATGCTCCTCTTTGGAAAGCAGATTGATAACCTCAAGACCAATCACCGTGGCATCTACGTCCTCACGGACAATACCTTCAAACCCCTCGGCCGCATGTCATGTGACACGAAGAAATACGACGCCACCATGCAAGCAGCACTAGTAGCACAAACAGACGATGTAGCGCTAGGACGGGACGCGAATAGCCAGGCCAGGGTTCAGCCATTCCTGTACTTCCCAGCTGATCTGATAAGAGGATGTCTTGCAAGCTTAGGCATACAAGCAACAGTTACGGCAGAGAGCGCTGGCCGGAGCTATGTTCCAGATCCGGACTGCGGGGGCGAAGAGCTAAGAGAATGGGCGAGGCGGTATACCATCTGTTTTTCAGCGGCATTGTGCGGCGTTGAAGGGTCCTATCAAGTTGATGTACTTGAATGGCTATGGGATTACTTCCGGCGAATAACCACTTGAGTCAAAAGGCGGCCTCTCACGCTTATGCGTGGTTATCCGCATAGCTATGCCATCTTACAACAACTGCAGTAAAGAAGAAAAACTATCGACTCAGGACACCAATTGTAGTCAGCGCGCCCGTACTTTCTAACCATCGTTACTTTACAATTAGGTCAGCCCTAGATAAACGCCTTGTTGTCTTGGCAACCTACATATGTTCAGCCTGGCTTACATAACGTCCTTCAATATCCACGTACGGAAACTCAACTATACCGGCTCTCTCGAATTTGAGCCTAATAACCGAAGCTGTTTTCCCTCAACCATACGAACAAGAAGTCAAGGTAGCACATCATGACTCAAAGCCGATTTCTTGACACATGTCTCAGCCTGACCTACAGACTGATAGCTTTCCACCCACATGCATTTTTCCTGTTCATCTTGATTTCACTGGTCTGAGCGCAAGCACTCGTCTCGGATCTCACGAAATATTCTAGTGGTCTAGTTAGCATCGCAATATTGCACCACCAAGCTATTGCTTCCAATAAAGATAATCTTCCCCGTTGAGGACGAATGGTGGGATTCGAAGCGGAGAACCTCGCGAAAAATCCGGCACATGAACCGAGGATTGAGAGGGATGCGAAGATCAAGGGATCCACCCTTACGAGCAAGAAGAGTGTAGGTCAGAGGACTGCGTGGCTGGTTCAGGGTGTGGGAGATATCAGGTGTGACCATGACCCAGAAAAAATCAGGCAGCAGAAGTCCGCATGGTAAGAACGGGTAGTCGGATTCAATGTGCATCGTCTCAAGTTGGGTGTTCTTGTCCTGGCTAGAACGAATATACTATACAACTAAGTGACGATTTTCGGGAATCCATCCGAGGAAGTCAAGAGGCCATGCAATCTCGGTTCTGTTCTGGAGACAAAGGCATCTGGCTTGTAACAGCGGCAGCGTTCCAGCGAGCTGTCAGTGAGCTTGAGGGCATTGAAGCTTCCTTAAAGCGCTACAGTAGCCGCAGGAATGGTGCGCTCAAGATATGGACGAGAAATGAGGAGCTGAAGCTATTCATTATGGGACTAACCAATGACGGCGAAAGGCTGGATACTGTTGAGAAATATGTGTCTGGGTTAGAAAGCCTAAATTTGACAGCCGACATGTGGGAAGATGGTAGAAAGGCCGGCGCGGATCAGTCGGGCTTAATTTATCAAATTGTTCGGATATTCTGTTGGGGGTGTTTTCGTGGTGAGCTGCTGGCAGCAGCTCATTACCAGATCCGAGAAAGTTGTTGCTCAGGATATTAGTATGTTAAATTCCTCGAGGAGATCAGAGAAGACCTTGATTCAGGATTTGTTAGTTCGGCTGTCTTCATGGCTGAATATCCTCTCCGGTCCACACTTGGTTTCGATCCGTTCGCTCCAGGTTTGGGTTACGTGGCTGGGCTGGGATCACCTGTACCGAAGCAACGGGGTTTACACCACTGTTCATTGACATCGCCTGGAGATATTAGGTTCACGCTCTCCAAATCTACTTATCTGACTCCAATTGGAGCTGTCAGGTAGCTCCAAATTTCACCTCAGCGATTTGTCGTTCGCGGGGTAGATTGCTAACCGAGCAGGGGGTTTATCAACTGCTCGACGTGCCGCTTGCGGCAGCTGCATCTCTACCTCAAACATGACATCACGACCTTAGCAACAAGCATCTCAGCCGCAGGCCTGCTGCTAGCATGTTTCTTTTCTCAGCTTGAAGAACATTTATCGGAGACGTCGTCGCGTTGGAATCGTTTCACGCAGCCCAAGTACGCCGCACAGCTAGGTGATCTAATTGGACAGACCATCCGTCATGGTCTCGTACATGCCGAGATTTCTCGATTCTGGCTTATCGCATGAGGTGCCCATATCGTACTGTTGGATCGTCGCTGCAATGACTGTTTTGCAACCCGTTTTGCCTATCACACCAATCGAGGTTGAGCATAATATTGTACTATCGCCGCGGAGACGCCGTAGGCAGCGAAGTGCTCCTCGAGTATAACGGCAGTATCTCTACAGACCCTGGCCGGTATTTGGAGTCAGTATGGCTGTAGGGAATGTGTTAATACAATCGCTTTCCTGGGAACAGAGAACTTGCGGAGTTTTCCAGCCTCTACATTCTACTTGTTGGAGCCTTCATGATGGCAGATACGACTAAGATACCTCTCCCAGTAGGAGCCGGCTATGGTACGTTCCCTAATATCTCACACAATGATCACAGCTGAACTTTCTAGGCGTCGTCGTTGGCATCGGCTTCTTCTTTGCCTTTCTCATGATGGGCATCTCCTATCTCCAAAACAGATACACACGTTACTCAACACAATCATCCGAAGAGTTCAACACTGCGTCGCGCTCAGTCAAACCCGGTCTCATCGCTTCTGGTATCGTTTCGGCATGGACCTGGGCTGCCACTCTGCTCCAATCTTCTACCGTAGCATACCAATATGGTGTCGCAGGGTCGTTCTGGTACGCTGCTGGGGCTACAGTTCAGATTCTCATGTTCTCGATCCTGGCTTGCAAGGTCAAGCAGAATGCGCCGAGATGTCATACATACCTTGAAATTGTGAAAGCGAGATACGGGACGGTTGCACATCTAGTGTTTATGGTCTTCGCGTTTGTGACGAACATTTTGGTGGGCAGCCAGCTCTTGTTGGGCGGAAGTGCGGTCGTTACTAGCTTGACAGGCATGCCAGTGTATGCTGCTGTGTTCTTGATCCCAATTGGTGAGTAACATTTGAGAAGTCTATTTCAGAGATGTGTTAATAGAGACAGGTGTCTGCGCCTACGTTATCCTCGGTGGTCTGCGAGCGACTTTTATCTGCGACTACAGCCACACCTTGATCCTTATGATCATCATCCTCTATTTCATGTTCAATGCATACGCTATCAGTCCTTTGATCGGCTCACCCAGCGAGATGTACGAGCTGCTCAAAAAAGCTGGGACTCAACGGCCTGTCAGTGGGAACCAGGACGGCTCATACGTCACTTTGAAGTCGAACTTTGGTTTAATATTCGGTGTCATCCAACTATGCTCTGGATCCGGGACCGTTTTCCTCGATCAGGCCTACTGGCAGCGTGCGATCGCTTCCAAACCCTCTACTGCCGTACGGGCGTATCTCCTGGGAGGAATTGCCTGGTTCGCTATCCCATTTGGCTTTTCGACAACGCTTGGTCTTGCGGCTGTGGCGCTCACCGATAACCCACGTTTTCCCACTTACCCAGAGGTACCTACCTCTGGCCAAATCTCGTCCGGTCTAGCAGCGGCCTTCGCTGCGGAGACATTGATGGGACAGGGAGGTGCTGTTGCACTGCTGGTGGTTCTATTCATGGCAGTCACATCATGCGCGTCTGCAGAACTCATCGCCGTCTCTTCGTTGCTGACATTCGACGTTTACAAGGAATACGTTTCGTCCAAAGCTTCACCAAAACAGTTGGTCTTCGTTTCGCACGTTATGATTTGCGTTTTCGGATTGATCATGTCTGTGTTCGCCTGCATCTGGAATGCGGCATCGATCGATCTTGGATGGCTTTTCCTGTAAGTTTTCCCCTATCCCATGGCTAATATATCAATGTTTACTAACATGTTGAAGCGTTATGGGTTTGCTAATCGGCGGCGCTGTGTTCCCGACCGCTTTCGCCATAACATGGCGGAAACAAAGCAAAGTTGCCGCTATATCTGGCTGTCTATTTGGTCTTGCCGCAGGTCTCACTGCATGGCTAGCGACCGCAAAGAACTATTACGGCGAAATCACTGTAGAGACTACTGGCATGTCATATCCAACTCTCGCAGGCAATTTGGCAGCCATCATGACCGGACTCATTGTAACAACCACAATCACTTTGATCAAACCGGACAATTTCGACTGGGAGATTACTCGTGCCATCAACGCCGTCGTTACCGATGGCGTAGACAACGCTACAACGCCTAGAGATGCTTCCACACCTGAACTCTCCGATGCTGGCGAAAAGAAGATTGCAGCCGATGCCACCACACAACCCGATGCAGCCGCAGCAGCAGAGCTTCCACATCATTTGGCTCCCCCACTGGAGGACGAAGACGATCCCTCCACACTCCGTCGCGCTTTCAAGCTCGCCTGCATCTCCGCATTCCTGTTGACCTTCATCTTAGACTTCCTTCTCCCCATGCCCATGTTCTTCTCGCATTACATCTTTTCTAAGGGCTTCTTCACTGCATGGGTGGTGATAAGCTTTATTTGGGTATTTGCCAGTAGTGCTATTAGTTGTCTGTTGCCAATCTGGGAGACCCGAGGGGGTTTTGCGAAACTATTTAGGAAGATTGGTGAGGATTTCAGGAAGAAAAGTTGAACTGTGAATTCAAATTTTTGAAGAAGGCTTGTCTACATTTAGTTTATGTGAATAGAAATAATATCTAGAGAAATAGTCAAAAACATGTGTAGATCCGTAGTTAACATGAGACTAAACGCAGATGTCGCATTTGTCATAAAAAGCTATAGATCGAATGACATAGCGTTCAACAAGACAATAACTATGATCTCTTCCGGGCTACTAAGAAAGATCTACTGCGTAGCCCGTAGCTAAAACATTTTTATCGAAAAATTCGCAGGTAGATCAAAGCAAGGTAGGTCGCCCTTGCGCCCTTTACGAACCATGGTACTACTAGCTTATGCGTTAATGAGACTCATCGCCATATGCTCTACCGCCTATCTTCTAGAAACGCAGACACCTCTATGTTACGTTCATCAAGCAACACGAATATATCCTCAGCGGATAGAATAGGTAAGCGCAAACCCTACGCTTCAGGCCAACCCCTAAGTAGCCCTACCCTAACCTAGCTCTTAGTAGGACCAGCCCAGCCCCGACCCAAACCCTGACCCACGGTGGGTGCCCCTGGCCCAAATACCACCCTAAGTGGACCATGAACCTGTGTAGGCCACTAACCCGCAAGGTACGTTATATAGCTACTTTAATGTTACAAGTAACAAGAAGAATTCTCTCCTTAACAAGAGACGACGAGGTTGAGGGCCAACCACGTCCACATCAGAAGGTAATGGCTATTGCGGTGCTTGGAGTCACGTGATGTGCCATCCCAAACCTCCCGCTAAGATAGTATAGAGGGGATAGCAGGACCTTAAGGCAATGGGTATAAGAATAGGTTGGATTTCGTTATTACACTTATTATCGTTAACTCTTATAAGTTCTTCTCTTACATAGATCAATACTTAGTTATTCTATCTTAGTATAGAATTGATTAACTATTATTAACTACTCCTTTGAAGTTTGAATTTCCAACGGCTCGGGCCGTTTTCGGTGACTTAGTGCTTTTGAAGCGACAACCTGTTCCCAGTCGGGATATCCCCTCAACAATATCGGTCGATTAGTGCGCCCAGGCCCAACGGCTGCCGTAGCAGAACCTCAATGGAGTTGCTTATGCTTCGCACGGGCCTATCACCTTAATAATAGCACATAGTTTGTCACGGTACAGGCGCACAGGCGGACAGGACAGGCACGAGTACAGATTCTATTGCTACAGACTGATGAAACTGGCCTTCACGACAGATAGTGTAGAGTAGTAGATAGGACGTAGCTCAGAGAGCTACACCAGCGTTGTTGGGGCAGCTTCACAGAATCCGTGTGCTTAGGCCAGCAACTGATCTCTGCGCTCAGTAATCTGGTGGCTGTCCTAGCTACCGCCGTGATAGTACCGCTTCTTTAGGCGAACTCCGTCGATGTGTTTACTTACTTAGGTTTAGCCGGGCAGCGACCGTGCTAGTTCTTAAACATCTCGTGTGAGTTTTCTAGATAGTTGGCAGAGATATCATTAGGCTCCCCATAGCCAACCTACTTAACCAGATACTTTAGTCGAGGTCGTCTGACTTGGCCACGGCGGTTCCATTGGGAGTGTAGGAGATCCTCGACCTCCGATTCCTCGACTCCGTCGACGTCTACAGGAGGTAGGGGGTTAGTGGCGGCCAGCCGTAGTAGGCTGACATGAAATACGGAGTGTACTCGTATCGAGGCAGACAGATCCAAGCGGTAGACGTGATGGGTTGATGCCCTTCAAGATACGGTAGGGCCCTAGGAGCTTCTATTCTAGCTTCTTTTTTTTTGGGGGGGGGGGGGGGCGAGCAGTGTTGATATTCTGAGTTTCTGGCCATACCATGTCGTTCTCAAGAAAATTAACGAGCTGGGTGTCTTCTTCGGCTGGCGTACTTCTCGTGGTGGGCTTAGGCCAAACAGATCTTAGTATGCTGGTGTCTATAGATGGCGTTTATCTTTTGAACTAAGTCTCTGGTGTTCCTAGTAGCAGCCTGTGAGCCAGCCGCAATCGGCTCAAAGCTAAATCGTGAGTGAAAGCTATGATTAGTAAAGAATGGCGTAGTCTGGGTGGTCTCATTGACTGCGTTGTTGGCCGCAAATTCTGCATTGCGTAAAACGATAGAGAACTTGGTTAATTGGGAATACATTTGTGACTATACCTCAAATATGATACTGCAAAATTGCAATGTTGCGAAAATGGAAAAATTGGTTGTTAATGTGTTCTCTCAGCTTTTTTCGACCTTTTGATCCCAGTCTATCTTGCAGCTGAGTAGCTTTTCATTGATAGCCCAAGCTAATGCTTTGGAGATATGCTTGGCAGGCGTGTTGTCCATCACGAGGAGGATTTTAAGCTTGGGATGCCGTACGGATTGATTACGCATCATGTGAAGGAGTAATATTACGGCGTCCTCTAATTCAGTATAGTCCCTTCTGGATTCGTTGGTCTAACGACATTGGTCGAGACGGTCGATGACCATCAATATAAGCTTCTCCGCCGGCAATTGCTCCATCAGAGCTGATAGGAGTTCTAGCATATGCACAAATGCTGTCGCCGGTTCTTCATGATCCCATTTGGTTGAGGATAATGCTTCCCGAACTAGGTCGTGTTGCAATCGCAGGCCGGCAGGATGATGCTCCGCTAACTGATATACCAAGCCTTTTACAATGCTAGCAAAGCTTCGGTGAGTCCGTTCCGTTATGGTGTAGCTCGGTTGGCAGAAGACTGCAAGGACGTTGTTTGTCTGACACATGTTCTCGACTGCCCAGACAGAAGCGCCCGACAGCCAGTTGGATTCTACTGATATGCGATTCCCATGGTTCTCTCCAGTAAGAAGGAGCATTGTAGGGTTTTTTCCTCAGACCAGGAGAGAAAATTTCCATCTTGCATCAGCATAGCTTTTGAAATCTGTTGTAGCGGACCACGGGTTTTGCGTCTGCGTTGTGAAAGCCCTGCTGTCAAGACTTGCTTCACGCTACTCGCAACATCCAGGATAGGTTGCTCTTCTACATTTTTGAGCTGCATCTGGCCTTTGAGCTCGGATAGGGCTTTGCTCTTCGCTCTGGATTCTGCATCTTGTCTTAAGCGCCATTGATTCTCCTGGACTCGGACATTGGTGTCAAGGCCCCTAATTTCGATACTTCCGGTAGTATCACTGACCGCCTCAAGGCGGATGGTCATCTCCTGAAGCTCAAGCTTGATGCGGCGCAACTCCGATGCTACATTCTCGAGTTTTTGTAACATAAAAATTTCGCATTCTTTACACACCTCAAGCAGCGTCATGCGAAGCTTGCAGACGGTTTCCATTTTGATCTCGCTTGGAGACATAGCTTTCAGGAGTCTCCTTGGCTCTGTAAAATATGTAATAGTTTCCCGGTAGAAGATAATCGACAATTCGAAGACGGAGACGATAGGTTGTTTCAGCTGTGGTCCAGGATCGAGCTCCTGAAGTGTGTTGAGTCGAGGGAATGCATGTGATAGTTCCTCAAGAACCCGCTCAATCGATTCTTCTCGCTGCTGCTTCAGGACTGCGACTGCGACCACTAAGGCCACTGTCCCATATGCCAGACCACCAAATTGTTCATCTGCAGATTTCACAATCTCGGCAATACCAGAGTAGCTATTCAAGAAGTCGCCAACGGTGCATAGAAAGCTCTGGATTCCCACTCCTAGCTTTCGAGCCTTCTCCATCTCACGATCGGTCTTCCAATTCTTATATGCAGTTGCAGCAAAATAAGCTTGACTTTGTGCTTTATCTTGTGCAGTTGCACTTTTGTCTCTCTGTGTAAGCTCTGTAATAGATTGATGAGCCTCTTCTTCCGAGAACTTGTAGACCTCGGCTGAATTGCTTATGAAAGTTGCAATGGGTGTGTTGTTGCATTCATCTAGGCCCAATTTGGCCAGTGTCCACCATGTCCGTCTCCATTCAATCGTCGTATAGGCTCGAAGATTCTAAAAACGGTATTAAAGAAATATGTGGGATTGTTGTTACTCTCACGTTGCCTAGCTATTGGTTCGATGGAACCATTCATTTGTAGAATTAATCATATCTGCGTTGCTTCCTGGACTGATCGGTGGACTTGATGATATTTAGAGCTTTGTTGCTTGTGCTATTCTTATCGCATAAGTCATTCATGGTCGATGACAAAGATTAATATGCTTGATGCGGCTCTGCTACAGTGAATCGGGATTTGACTGGCTCATCTGCGATGGGGGCCATATTGTTGTGGCTGTGGCGCAGTTGTACTCAGTCAGTCTGGAGACATACATAAACGGTAAAACAAATGCATTGAGCCTTGAGTTGGTGCACGAGACAGGTAGGCTTGCCAGATGCTACGAATGAAGGTGCGACTGGCCCCTCCTCTCATAGTGCACTTGACCTTGGCCACACCCTGAATGGGCGCCACCACATCCTCCTCGACAAGGGTCACTGACACACCATTACAGTGTACCGCGCGTAAATACAGCTCAGAGGAAGCTGTACACTAATTAAATAAAGATAATACATCGCTTCCGCGGAGGTGAGACAACTCAAAAACGTACTCTGCACTACCGCATGGGTCACTTCCGGCAATGATAGTCTACGGATCAATCTCATCTTTTGCCGGGGCCAGGATGGCTGGATTTTAGCGGTTACACTCTCGTTTTATTATCTTGTCCTTATACAGTGTCGTTTCAATGTAAGCCAAACATAAACGTTGCTCAAGCATAGTCACTCAGACAATTCACAAAGGGGTTGAACTTAATTAGGAAAGTTCTATCGCTCAGTGACCAAAGCCTTATTTTGTATCAGATAATCAATCAATTTACATAAAAGAAACATAAAAATGTAGTCTCAGGATACCACCCAGGAGAGCAATGGAGTCAAAATGGTGAGTTGTAATATCAATAACCTGCTACATATCCCCCGGACTTGTTGACGATTGCGCAGATGATTCTGTTGCAACATATCGCCTCCCAAATTTAGATGCAGTCTGGGCCGTGCCAGAATCAGCAACAATATAATCCAGCACTGCATCCACTACCTTTGCTCGCTCCCCAGCAGCCTCAACATTATCCACATCAAACACTTCTCCCACAGGCACAATGGCCCTTCCAACAAGAATCGAGTGCCCAAGCAGGTATCTTGCCAAACTATGTCGCCATGCAACAACAACAAAAACAAAAACAGCAGCAGCAACTGAACACACTTTCTGCTTTGTACTCACAATTCCAACAAAACGGAATTTCTTTACAGCCCCCTTTGGCCGCATACACTACAAAATCAGCAGTTACCACCATTCAAACAATCATTTGAGATGAACGACCGAGGTGCAGGCCAGCACACAGTCCAATCTTCGGATACTGATCTAAGAACCCATGCATCGCAGGCGCTAGGTGAGATTGATGATGTCAATGCTGATACTGATATTCGAAAGTCCCACATTGCGGAGAAAGACCAAGGAAAATCACTTGGACCTGGTGACACAAGCAAAGAACCTCTTCCAAACGGTGTCAGCACAAACGGAGCGATCGAGAAATTCTCTGATACGCAACAAATTAGTTTGACTAAGGTATCCAGTACAACAGCGGGAGCTAAAGCGGATGACACTCAAGAGAAGAGTACCGAACTATTCAGTGGCAGTAAAAGGATTGGAGTACCTGAAATATCATATTGTAGAAGCTGATGAGTAAAAATAGGCTACGAAGACTGAAAAAGGTTAGTGAAATGCGCATGGATGTATCCCATCTGCATTACGCCAAGATATTTCATGTGCATCTGAGCTGATGAAATGTGAGCTACAGTAGACCAAAGAGATCAAAAACCAAAGATAGAAAAGCCTGAAGAACCAGCTGCAACTGAGGAAGCTCGAGCCAAGACTGTCGTGAATAGTGTAAGGTATAGGTGCGAAATTACTGAGTCAAAGTACTGACTCCTTCAAAGTGGAATGATGAAGAAGACAAATGGGAGGATAGAGCATATGTGGTAGAAGGTAGTGAAAATCGTCGTCTCCATGCTGTAATCTTTCGTCAACAGATGGACATCGACAACAACAAAAAGCTTTCATATAAGGAAATCGAAGTCCACTCACAGAATCTACTAGTACTTCTGAAGAAGATTTTGCATGTGTGGAAAGACATATCAACAGAGTTTGATCAGCCAGCAATTGTGCTATCACCTTTTCACAACTTTGTGTGTCACTGGAAGGATTATGAAGATGCTACAAAAGATGCTGAGGGTGACACCGAGTCAGATAAGTTGGCGAAATCCGATCTCGAGACGGTTCTTGATCTCATCAAGAAATCTTCAGTTCTCAAATCTTATCTTCGATCAAGGGACATCATGCGTGTGTGTGAGACAATTATGTACGAGTTCGTATGGACACTATTTGGCCACGGCACGAGAGTGGTCGCACGATCTTTCCTGAACGAGCTACAGATGTTCCAGGTCAAAGACTACGCAGAGTCTCCAGATGGTAAGATCATCTGGATATTTTGTAGCATTCGACTGAGATGGCATTGACTTCTCCGTGTTCACCTACCAATTCCCCATCAGGAAAATTTCAGGCGAGAAACGCATCGACAACCTGACAGTATATCCAGCGAAGTACTATGGAACAGGTGATGCGTATGGCAAGCTTCAAGAGTCATCAAGGAACCGTGGAAAGACGTACGTGAAATGATGTACGCAGGAACCAAGTATGCTTCAGTGCGAGTATGAGGGTATGGCCCTTGTCACTCCGACTGCTCTCCAACGCTTGGCATACAAGAGTCATGGCACTGGGCACGTATTACGATCACCGTATGAAGACAGTGTAAAGGCAAAAGTCTTGCAATCTGAGATGCCTTGTAAGAAGAGTCGGGTTGTTGTTGACAATTTCTCCTTCCTAACGTCCGCTCGTAACACAACAAAGCAGAGCGAGACTCCTCCGCTCGGTAAGATAAATGCTCTTAACGAGCCTGGTTGTGTGTGTGTGTGCCTTTTGCAGAGAATCCATCGTCAGAACCTGGTTACCGGAATCGAAGACACACCAGTCGCTCAAAGACATCGGCTTGGAGTTCTCCAAACAAGAGGAGCGATTACAATTTTTGCCACCACGTCTTCTCGGATATGTACTGTGGCACGATACGTGATCGAGCTCAAAAGATCAGAGGGGCGACCCGCAATCGAGTAGATAGAAATAAGCTGAAGGTTGATCGTTATAAAGGATTGATTGGAGAAGGTGCCTATCTACGTACGAAAGATAATCGTAATATATACCATACGCTTAGTCATGTGATGCTACACCACAGTACTCAAAGAGAAAGTATGGGACCAGTTCTCAGTTGAGAAGCTTGTGCAGGTTAACCCCATCACGTAATAAAACAAGATGGGACCCTTCTGGAATGAATTGGAGTTGAACACAGAGGCAAAGCGACATCTGATGGCTTTCGTGCAACACCATAGAGCCTCGAGCTTTCGGAACGTAAATTCAGACGACTCTGGTACCGACCAAGTAATTTTCGATATAATTGAAGGAAAAGGGCATGGACTGGTTATTTTACTCCACGGTCCACCTGGAGTGGGAAAGACCCTGACTGCTGAAACGATCGCTCTAGAAATAGGGCGACCACTACTAACGATCTCGGTGACCGAGATTGGCGTGGACTATCGCATCGTCGAGCACAATCTGACCAATGTCTTTGTAGATGCTGCACGTTGGGAGGCAGTTTTGCTGATGGAAGAAGTGGAGGTTTTTGTTGAACAACGAGGTGGTCAGGATATGGACCAAAATGCTCTTGTGTCGGTGATGCTGCGCTGCCTGGAGTACTTCAAGGGTAATTCACCGGATTTTGCTGAATTTAAACCAAGCTGAGTCCATATTAGGCATCGTTATCATGACTACAAACCGAGTCAAGTCAATTGATGTTGCGATCCAGTCACGTGTACAATTGGCCATACGGTATCAGGACCTCAACCCGACCCAGATGCTCAAGATATATCAGGGTCGGTTGATGCGCATCTCCGCGGAGGAGATTGAGGACATGACTGAACTAATGAAAAGTCTGGAAAAGTCGCCTTTGATCAAGCTTAGATCGTCTGAGGTACCACCAAACGGGCGGCAGATCCGCAACATTGTCACACATGCATGGGCATTGGCAAAGAGCGAGGAGGAGAAACTGAACATTCAGCATCTACAGAGTGTTGCCAATATGACGTTGGATTTTACAGAAAGCATGAAAGACTTGACGATGAGGCAAAGAGATATGAGTGAGGTAGACAGGTGATTGGGCGAGATGGTGCGGCAAAATATATAGGGACGGGGAAGCAGGCAAATATTGCGCGTTCATACAACTCCCTCTGTAGCAAAGAACCAGAAATGATGCAGAAGACGAAGGCTTTCTATATTCAAAGCCTTGTTTAGAAGCGCAAATAAGCTGACCAACCAAGCTCCCTGATTGATATACATTACAAGGACGACCTTATTTACGAGATAGGATGACACATCTTGATCCTTGATTCTATCTGTCCATCTCACTGCATTCTATTCAATGTTTTCTGCGCCAAGCTAACATCGCGATAACCAAATGTATGATTGCTTACGTTCTACACTAGCGCAGAGTTGCTGAACAGCGGGTATTGAAAGGTACTTTACCTAGGTAGTGCGTTCAACAGGTCACTTATTGTAATGCTTTTCAGCAAGAGTTATCAATTTTCCTAGTAAAAAACGTTGCATTAGTTAACATGACATATTGGCTGATTACCTATGGTATAGGTATATAATGCCTACTGCGTATATATTAAAAACTCCCAAAAAGTCGTATCGATTTTCTAGAATCTCCCGCGCTATGGTATCATTTTTGCCTAATAATCTCGAATATTGCTCTTGTAACTTTAGATGTCTAAACTGCGCAGAAAATTATCTGCTTTTACATGAGAGAGGCAGATTTCACATTCTATGGTGAACGGACATTGCAAATGACTTCACAATGCGCCATTTTAGCTTATTTTCCTATAACAAAAGAATCAAAATCCAGGATTTAGCCCTTGAGTACTATGCTGCTACAAAACATGGTTAGCGCTTATGGATGGGATAAGAAGTCAGGATTGTAAATCGTGTGGGAGCGAAGTTAGGTTTGTAGATAGCTAAGTCGCACTAAAAGCGATATCCAATTATCTAAAGCAATATTTAAATATTTTCTAGTATGAATTTCTTTTTGATTTGGAGTGCGTGGATCAGCCCCTTCATTGAGACCAACGTACCTAATGCCATAGGTATATATCCGCTCATTCCCAACATGGTAATTGACTAGCCACTTTAACAATAACAAGTAATAGACTGCTTTTCTTAGGTTGTTAAGGAAAAACAACTGTTCTCGAGAGGCAATAAAGATGCCGCGACTGCACAGACTAGAGTAGTTAATGACGCTATCAACGAATAAGCGCTCTGTGTTGAATCGCATACCGACACGGCTTTTTGGGGGCGAAAATGCATGTCAGCCTTGGCTTGCCCCAGCCTTCTCTTGCCTGAGCCTTCTCTCCGCCACCATGTTCAAGGTTGATAAGAAAGCTCACTATCGCGCTCGAGTGCACTATCCATTATCTTTCTATTCATGCCTTGTCCATATAGAATTTATGTGGAAAGAGTAATACTTAATCCCTAGTGTGAAGCCATGCCCACGCAATCTAAGTTCGAACCTATACGAACGGCTTGGCATGATCTAAAGCACGATCTCAAATCCACGCGATGGCTGCGCGGCTTCGGTTGGACTCTGGGCGTCTTCTGGCTATTTGGTCTCATCGTCAGCGCAATCATGGTTGGTATGATGTCCGCGTTTATTACGACTAATTCTGCATGCTTGCCGGATAGTAGCTTTCGACTGAAGCCGGACACTTTCAGCATGTGGTCCTCTACAGGCTTCTTCCAGATCACACTTGGGGGCGGGGATTTAAGTTTTGCGGAGGCCAAGCTCGTAGATATCGTATGGGATATTGTACGTTGATCGGCCTTGTAAATGTGAAATCACCATAAGGGGTTATGCTAACAACAACAATAACAGGGCGTTGGACGCGGTGGCCAGGTGGTTTTGGCATTTATATCTTGGCGCGAGTTTGCGCGGTACTTGACGATTTGTATGGCGAGTGAGCCAGTCATATATTAAGTCTTCCGTACCATCTTTATCGAGAACGACGCCTCTGTTCTCTCAATATTCCGCACGATTAAGAGCTTCATTACGCAGCGTCGACTCAGGTCGAAAATTGCCATGGCATTTATGACTGCCACTATGCTTTTTATCCTCGCGTTCCTAACGCTGATGAGCGCTATAAGCGGCTATAATTCTAATGTTTCCTCAAGAGTGCCGGACCTAAGCGATAATCTTGTTTCATTTGGCAACTTTTCGCGAGTCCTTTATTTTATTCAGGATGGGTCAAGAATCAACAAGTCGGACAACTTGTGGGTCTTGGATGAGACTTCACGAATAGGAAGAGATCCTGTGATCGGTAACAGACCAGGTTTCAAGGGTGACCTAGCTTATGGAGTCTCCCTCTGTAAGACAAACTCGTACCAACCCATATAGCTCTGCTAATTCGCAACAGACGTCGAAGCATATGGGCTTGGTGGTAGACGGAACGAGTCATCCATCTTTGACAATTCCACCTTCTCGTATCCGAAGGGCGAGAACTTCACACTTAATCCACCCACACTCAATATCACTGCTTACACCCTTGAAGATACCGCAATGAAGGCTTATAACATGTCCGGTGCACAAGGTATGACTTGGATTAGAAATGGCGAGCTCTTCAACCGCACATACATTGAAAACAAAGGGCAGTGCCAAAACACGGGCGTGAGTGCCCCCGTTTTATCTTTCCTCCTTCATCTGCTTCTGATCTACAACTAAATTGTTATACCAGACTTATAAATGGGGCTTTTCCTTCCTCCAGCTGTTCTTCTGCATCCTTCTCCTCCTTGCGTGGACAATTGGGATCTACATAATGTGGCTGTATACGCACTATACCCTCCTCTTGCGCTCGCGCCTCTCAGAAGAAGTCTCTGGCGCGCACCGCGCTGTGCTCGAGCTAGCCGCCGCCATGCAATCTGAGCTTGATCTCGCAGAGCTTGATGTCTCTTTGCTTCGCGAAAAACAGCTTGAAGAACGGATCAAGAAGGAGATTAGAGGCGGGACGGTCAGTTATGCGTATGCGGAAGAGAAGAGGGAGATGTTCAGCATTCGCAAGGGACTGAGGGAGTGGTGGCGAAAGGATAAGTGGTGGTTTATGGCCTTGTTTTGCATGACGGTGCTTTGCTCGACGTTTTGGATGGCATGGATCTGGTGGCTTTGGATCTGGCTGTGGTCTTTTTGGTTTGGTCAGTTTTGGGCGTTTTGTATTGGAACTACAGAGGGTAGTCGATTGCTGATTATTCTATTTTGGGGTGTATTTGGGGCGATTGTTGTTGCTGTTGCGATTCCTGCAACCACAGCTGCAAGGTAGGGGGATCCTTAGTACAAATGAAGCCGAGCACTTTCTGGGATCTTTAGCTTTCATCTCTATTTCATGACCATGCGCTCAATATTTTCTTTAGGACGTCCTTCCTGCACGCCTGCGCCGTGTGCTCAGCCTCCAATAATATCAATAGTTTCTGCCTATGATAGGAGGATCTGATCACACATTTCACAACCTTGCAGGTGTGTGTAGCCCCCACTACCTCGAGACATGAACTTGTTATGAAAAGGTTCCTCGCCCACAGCAATAACAGCATCAGCTACCCAGGCACCACAGAGAAGTCCCCAGACCAAAGGAAATGCGTAATACCAAAGGTATGCCATAGCACGAAATCGATGGTGAGAAACAGTGTATCGCAGCCTGTCTGAGAGACAGTAGTAGCTGCAAGGCTGAGAATGCTTACCATCAGGCTGACGCGCTAGCGCATGCAAAGAGCCCGATGTTGCCAACCCAGTCCAGTCCTGCAAAAGCGACCTTGGAGGGCGATAGCTTGTCCAGGATGTACGACGTGGCTCAGTTGATTGGCCTCTCTATAAAAGCGGGGGTCAACGCACATAGCCCTTCGAAACGGTTCCACATTCGGCCACAATGGCGGCGGCTCAACGCCCTTCCCAAAGAGCAATATACAGTAGATTGGATCTGTGCGCTACCTACTGAGCTAACTGCTGCCCGCTTTTTCCTAGATAATCTACATGCCGAACGGCTTGAGCAACAAGATACAAACATTGAAAACATCCATGTCCTCAGTAGTGTCAAAGGGCATAACGTTGTCATTGCAACTCTACCCTGCAGCGTCTATAGAACTAGCTCTGCAGCGACGGTCGCACACAACATGCTTCGCAACGAAGGTACGAAAGGATATAGAGCCTCCCATCCTCAGTGTTTCTGCCTTCATATCTTTGACACAGTTCTGTGAAATTTCGATTATTTTCTTTAACTAAACCAAATTACCCCAGCAGTCTACTATTAGTCTCGCAAACTCTTCACAAATCACAGTATTCTGCCGGGGAGGTTTGATTCTAACACACTGCACTTTTCCGCCGACCAACTCATTTAGCATTCACATTCTTTGCAGAAATGCTCTTTTGCTCGAAGACCGTAAAAAGCAGCATAATTTTCGTAAAATAGTTGCGTAAAGATTCTGGGAAAACCCCTCTGCGGTAGGGCGATAGGGTGAGCAGGCATTGACATTGATGTGTGCGTGTCTCGCGTGGATGAAGATAAAAGGTACCATGGCCAAAAGCAGCCTGTCTATGTTCTTGAATGGGGACTATATATTGTGGCACGATACGTGATCGAGCTCAAAAGATCAGAGGGGCGACCCGCAATCGAGTAGATAGAAATAAGCTGATATTTGATCGTTGCAAAGGATTGATTGGAGAAGGTGCCTATCTACGTACGAAAGAAAATCGCAATATATACTACGAGCCAGTCACGTGATGCTACACCACACTATATGTACAAGCGCAGCTGGGGCGGATATTACCCCGGTCTTACGCGAGCGGCAAGCCAGGTGTTCGGATAAATTAGACTACAAAACTCAGAGTCCAACGACTGTGCCGCCTTGAACTAAGGTTTGCTGTTACAACTAAAACCACCATCACTACAGTATTGAGGGATGGTATCATACTAGTGATCGCGCCGGTAAGTGTCAATGGAGCAGTAATTATAACTTACTTTGTAGCTCCAGAGAGTATAATATCTGATGCACTTAGTTTTGAGAACGATTGGCACTTCCATGGTTCTCAAAAGCTACGTACTGGCATCCATGCCGTAGCAATAGACACAGAGTTGATTCCTGCCAACCTTCATATCTGCGTACGACTGCGAATATAAGTCAATACTCAAACCAGACTGCATAGTAAGTTGATGGCGGTAAACAAGTTCTCACATGTGTGCAGCGACCTTGCCTGAGTCGTCCAAATCCCAAGTGAATTTGTCATGCACGCTAGACCCAACAACATCTTTATTTGAGTCTGCTTGTTAGGCTTGTCATCTTCATCGTCACAGTTGTACAGTATTTAGTGTTTCCGCTTGTCAAGCGACCAACAAATCGCAAGAGGCTAGGGACAAATTCCCCGCTTGAAAGCTTCCACTCAATCACTTTAGTGACTTAAATTGATGTTTACTCACTTACTATCGACACCTCCCTCTCGAGACTCATCCTTGCTTTGGACAAGTGCCATCTTTTTTTCTATGCGAAAAACCCTACAACGGGCTCGACGCCCCAAACGTGTGTAGCTCCCCGACATTATCTTAGGTGATTGATTGAACCCAGGTTCTGCGACACTATCTAATGTTAAAGCCCTAGCAATAGTGCCAATCTTATATCACATGCAGTAAAACATGATTACTTTTATGTTCAGCTAAGGCTGAATCCATGACCAATGTTATTACCGATCAATATTTAACATGCAAGGACAGACGGTCCGACTTCACACCCATGCTGTTTAGTCGGCGCTAATTGGTTTTGTGGCTGCATGAAAGGGTCGAGGCGCAGCAAATGGCGATGCCTGGACGCGAAGGACGAAACACAGCCGCAGCTCGTGTAGTTGCCGCTCGTCCTTATCTCTGCTGCCCCGCTCCATCTCCCAGGCTTCAGCATAGAACAATGCCTCGCTCTTTGCTAGCGTTCCTAAGCCAGCGAAAGGAAAAACGATTACGGTAAGAACCTTCAAAAAACTGTACCGCTTGATAAACACGTTCCTTATATTCCTCCAGGGATACATCAAAGCAAGAACTCCATACTACAATACCAGTAGCTTCAAGGCCTGTTGTTAGTCTCCGCTCAAATAATGGATCTCCAACGGCTTACTCTCTTCCAGAGCCATGTGGCCAATACTGCAGTCAATGGACCTACGATTAATTTGAATTATCCGAAGCTGGAGAATGCCGATCGTCAGTTTCGTATGTTGGTCCTGAAACCCTCTGGAGACTTCAGTACCGACATCAAATGCCATATCCATAATCGATCGCAAAATCCCAACCCAGCATATGAAGCTTTGTCTTACAGATGGGGAGATCCAAAGGACACTACTCCAATTCACGTCCGCCTGACTGAGCACCAAGGCGAAAAAGAAGCCGACGAGGCTCCATATCTACCATGGCCAGTTACACGCAACCTGGAACAAGCGTTACGAGCTTTGCGACTACCTGATACCGACCGTCTTCTCTGGGTAGATGCACTTTGTATAAATCAAAATGACGACGTTGAGAGGGGTAAACAGGTCCGAATAATGGGTCAGATTTATCAAAACTGTGTCCGAGATCTGTTATGGCTCGGTCCAGAGAATGTTCAGATCAGCCGAGCAATGAGACTGATCTTGAAGATTCAAGGCCATGGTGAAAGCGGTCATAACAAGACTTGTAGATCAACGGTTGAAACCGAAAGCACAACCTTCTCGGCCTTCTCAGATCAAGACTGGGATGATCTGAAGAGACTTATCATGCATCCTATCGAATGGGGCAGAGTCTGGATCATCCAAGAACTGATACTCTCACCCGAATTCACCCTCGTTTGTGGCAAAGATACACTGGACTGGAGTTGTATCGACAGCGTACTTAACAACAACCGCGATGTCCTGAGAAAAATCGATTTGCAAGGCCCTGAGCTCGGAATGCTTCTCGAAGTTATCAGCAAAGTGAGCACCATCCGGGTGTATCGTATGCCACCGGAAATAACGAACCACCTGTTTTCCAAGTCTTTGCTCACCACTTTCTTCTTTTTTCTCGACTGGGAAGCTACTGATGGACGAGATAAAGTCTATGCAGTACTCAGTCTCACTACAGATGGAAAGAACATGAGTGTGGACTACCAAAACACGATGGATCAGTTATCAATTGATTTCGCCAAAACATGCCTTGCGCAGGGCAATGTAAGGCTTTTATCTCACAACACAACCTATTGCGTCGCTAAAACTCAATATCTCAAACAACACCCTAGCGGCTCCGAATATAGCACCACTGAGCAAGAGCTTCTGGTTCCTCGCAGAAAAGACTGGCCAACGTGGATTCCTGATTTGTCAGACGATATTATCAAGGGTGCTAAGATCTCTGGTCTTTCTGTTGCAGGAGTGTCGAAGTATAACGCATGTGGTACTGTGGAAAGTATGAAAGCCTTGCAAGTCAGCCAATGCAGAATTACTCCTTCACTTGGACTACTAATGGGTGGAGTCTTCGTTGATTCAGTTGCACTAGTCAACCCAATAACCCTCGTATCAGACAACGAGACTCCAAGAGATCGATGGACTCGTGATGTCCTTGCTTGGGCACCGCCTGAAACGAAACAGCACAATGCAATCTTACAATTGTATCCATGGTCTGACTCACAACACGAAAGCGTTGTCTCGGCATATTGGCGCACCATCGTAACAGATCGTCGAGCGGATAAACGACTCAATGCAGAGGATCTGAGACAAACTAAGTGGTATACAGACGTCTCAGAGGGCTCTGATATACCCAAGGAAAACATGTTGCTGGTAGGTTGGCGCTTTGGCAAGACTGCGGCTGGACTGTACTGTATGCTTCCGCCTCAATCGAAGGTTGGGGACACCATTTGCGTGCCGCTGGGAGGACAAGTACCACTACTACTTCGACCGCAAAACGGAGATGATGAGCTGTATGACCTGATTGGTGAGGCATACGTGCATGGTGTTATGGATGGAATGGGCATCCTTCGCGCTGTCGCAAATATGAGCAGGATGTTGCAAGCTGATCCGAATCATGATTATGAACACATGGCCACAAAGCTACAACACGAGACGATGGGCACGCAGTTCTACATGAAGACATTTCACATTGTATAAAGCATCATAAATTGTATCTGCTGTCACTGAGACTCGGGTTTTCGCTACACTCTGCTGATGATCTTATTCGGCTGACTCAACGGAGACCAAGGTCCATGATTAGTCTTTGGCCCCCAAATCATATCCTAAAATAGTCGTTGAGCGTTGGTGCAGCACAGCCGCCTTGATCCGAACATATATGAATTCAGCAAAGCAGTTGTAATCGGGACATCAATCGACGGCATGTCCTTCTCATCTCACTCATACCGCGAGTGCTGCAGGGCACAAAGCGTTTCTCCGCCTACCTACTCACCTCTTGAACTTGACCAAATCCGGGTATTGCGGATTTTACCCACAATTATACCCGGTAGGAGCGGTCACTACCACCAAAATGGCAGGCAAAACGATTGCGAACAGGAGGACTGCAGAGCCCTTACTGAGAGCATGTTCGAAACAGTCTTGTTGCAAAACTTTGAATCGGGCAGAAGTTTACCCCAAGAATGTTGTAGGGATGGATCTGTTTGTATCGAGTGTGACATGATACAGTGCGAGCTTGTTACTGTTTCGTTGGAAGAGTACTCAGGCGCTTTCGATGCACTGTCCTATATGTGGGGCTACACGGATACCAAAGAGCGGATCAAGATGGACAGCAAGACAATCGAGGTAACGTTGAATCTAGAGGCAGCCTTGCGGAGAGTCAGAAATATGGAGAAGGCGAAGCTTCTATGGGTGGACGGTCTGTGCATTAACCAGCAGGACGTCGAAGAGAAAAATGTCCAGGTTATGCGCATGAAGAATATATATACAAGGTGTGGAAGGGTGCTTGTCTGGCTGGGCGATGCATTGATAGACGAAAGCTTAGATGGCAAGAATGAGGTCGACAATGCAGTCAGGGCTATATCTTTCCTGAAAAAAGCACACAAAATCGCGCGGGGTAAAGACATGGTCGGCAAACCGGATTATCACACGATGTTCATGAGCAGAATGACGGTCACAGTGCCTTTTAAAGATCCAAGCACGGTTGGTCTTCCCGTATTTGGTGCTCCGGAGTGGGTGTACTTGAGCAAATTCTCAAGTAGGCCATGGTTTGGTCGCGTTTGGATCATCCAGGAAGCATCAGGTGTAGACCATACGCTGCTAATGGTAGGAAAGGATGCGAGACTCGGCTTGGGCCAACTGTCATAAGGGACAAATTGGTTTATAGCTTATGCTTACCCAGACAACATAGATGGCCTCGAGGGATTGAGGAATGTCTCAATGATTGATACGTGTCGCAGGTTGAAAGCTATGCCATTGATGCGCAGACTAGATCAAATATATCGATTCAACTCAACTATCCCACACGATAAAATCTGTGCAGTATTGGGCTTATCCATCGAATCCGCAACACCCGAGAGATATCCACGGTTACGCGTCGACTACGCCCGAGACTGGCAGGCTGTTTTTCGCGACGTTGTAAGACACTGCATCGAGATGTCCGGCTCCTGGGGACCCAAGTCGACACTGCATATCTTAAGTTACATAAGTCAAGAGCGTGACGACGATGAAAATTTTGCCTGGGACAAGACAAAATCCTCCTGGGTGCCGATGTGGGATAAAATACACAGCAACTAGCCCATCGTACAGCGCATGTACCACTTTGCTTTCCAAACAACATACGATACCGAACCATGTATCGTTGAATCACAAGATGACCGCATAATTTCTTTGAAAGGCATATTCGTCGATATAATCGCGAAGGTATACAACCATCTGATAGACATCCGTGAAGATCACGATCCATTGTTTTCCTTGGAAGTTTTCCGCGCTGTCACCAAAACGTGGAGGGCTATCCTTTGCGATCCTCCATGGAGGTTTCTTGGCGGCAAGCGGTATCCTCTTCTGGGGGAAGTATTCGCGAAAGCGATTACGGAGGGTTCTATTTGCCGCTCGCCTGGAACAGGGTCGCTTGGGCAGCAATTTGCTGCGTATTGGGAGGTGGGCCTTCAATATGCAAAAGAAAACGAACTGGGCATACTTCCGAGGTTCAACACTTTCCTTGCTCCACTGAACACAGCAGTTGAAAAGTGGCCTTCTAATGAGAGTGTTTCGATTAAAGAAGCATTGGAAAAACAGTATTCAATGTAGGGATTGACAAGGCCATTTTCGTCACTGAAACAGGGTATATCGGCTGTGGACCGCCAATTACACGAGTTGGAGACGACTTATGCGTAATCTACCGTGGAAAAACACCTTTCGTTGTACAGAAAGTAAAGAAAGGACCCGAATGCCCTGCGTGGTTGAACATCGATCTATGCCCTTCCACTAGTTCAGTCAAAAGATTTCAAGGTCCTTCGAGGAGGTGGAATCCGTTTCATAACAAGAAGCCAGAACAGTTTACACTAGTACCTCTGGAAAGGCATGCTCTTATCCTGACCAATCGCTATCGTCTCGTTGGTGAGTGCTACGTTGAGGGATTGCAAAAGGGAAAAGCACTAGACCTCCGCGACAAGGGCGATCTCCAAGAGGATATAATCTATTTCGTTTAATAATGAGAGTGTAAATACGTCAAGCCTTCCTAAAATCTCTATCATTCCACAGTTGCTCTCTTTCAGATCTGATCAGACGGCATATCCTACGATAGCATTGTGAAGCCCCAAGTCTTATAATCATACAAAGTAGGCTTAACGTACCTTAACACTATTGAGCATTAAGGCCTGAGTGGGGTTAAATACTAACTAGTACTGTAAGGCTAACGTAACGGGAAATATAAATCTTCTTTTCAGGCCATCACAGCCTGGAATAGACAGATGAACGGATTTTATGGTAGAAATATAGTCGTATGGTAGTTATGACTCCCACTTTTCGAGAAATGAATAGAGCATGGAATGTTAGTGTCCAATTTACTGCTAGATGACTTGACCTTTTTTCTCTGTTTGCTATATAGCATATTAGATCAATTATATTAGAAAAGAATAGTATGCTACACCCTAACCTGCCGAAATCAGGTATTAAAAAAATAACTGTTAAAATCTTTTCTCTCAGAAACTCCACTCAGAAAGACCAAAGCCAATTACCGCTAGATAACGTCTTATCTTTTTTTTTCAGATTGTAGAATAAATACTAGATAACCTCAACGCATTCCTACACAGGGCCACACTTTCTTGAGGTAGAAAGCTATCTTCTCTTACAATGTTTAACAGAGGGAGAGGAGCCATTAGTAATGAAAGAGAGCTCTTTTATAGAACAGCGTTTCCAATAGCTTGTGGATTCCAGAAAACATGCTCTGGGTCAACTTGATTCTTGATTGTTACAAGCTTGTGGTAAGTGGCACGTCCATAATAGAGATTTGCTGCCTCCACGGGTGTTAACGCTGGGTCGAGGTAATTAGGATAGGCGAGAAAGTTGCCGTCGGGCTGCGCGGCAGTAAGCGCTGTGTTCAGCCCATTGACAAAATTCGTGATCTCTGCGGAGAATGGCGGTAAGCGATTCGCGCTGGAACCGACATTCTTGATACAAGTCAGCTGCATTACGTCCCTCAGAATGGATATTACACTTACTTGGAAGACCCAGAGAGAATCTCGATGAGAGTATGCAGCGGACGCGGCTGCAGGAGTGTTGATCTGGCTATCTTTGCCGCCATAGAGCGAAATAAATGTTTCCCAGGGAAACGTTGCTGTCAAGCCCTTGTCGATGATAAATCGAAAGTAACTTGTTATGGCCTGCTTGCTTAGTGGCTGAGCCTCCCTTGTAACTACAGACTTGGTGTAGAATGTTTGATGGTTGTTGTAGCCGTTTAGTGGCTCGGCAAGTGGCTCACCCTCAGCAATATCTTCCAACGCCGTCAGCCAGGCCCTCTCTTGGATGGTGGTATTGCCAGGGGTCGGCATTCCGTCCAACATCGCTGGAAACACGGTCTCCGAAAAATAGTCCAGATTTCCGAAGTACCATCCACGAACTATGAAGTCGCCGAACACGTTGGTATATACCTCAAGAGTGAGATTCCGGTTGACATATGGAGAGGTAGTGACGAAGGTTTGAAGCTTGAGTATCACATCAGCTGCCATGTCCGCTGACTTCAGAGCCGATGAGAAATTGGACGAGTAGCTGACAACTCGAGCTGGTGCCGGCTGCGTCTGGAGATAGAATGTCGTGATGATACCTACGCTGTCTGCAGCTCCTCGCAGAGCGTAGTACAAGTCAGGATAACTATCAGGCGTGACGTGCACAAAGCGACCATCTGCCAAAATGACGTCCATGGCTACAATAGTGTCAAGTGCAAGGCCTGTTGGAATTGATGGTCAGTAACTTGATCGCGAGGAATAAGAGTTTCGCTGCTAGAGTGCAGCGTGACCACTTGGTAAGAGATGAAGGAGGGGTTTCAGGAGCAAACCACGTACCCCAACGGCGAGACGAGTATCCAAACCCTCCGTGAGTATAATGGCCCCCAATTCCAACCCCAGGGTAAGTTCCGTGAGGAAGCGCTCGCTGGCCCTGGTTGTATATTCCTAGTCCTAGATTACCAAGTCGAACACCTCCACCTGCTGTGACAATGCCAGTCGCTTGAAGTTGTTAGCGATGCAGTGATGAAAGTCACGGAAGTGAAAACGTGGTACTAACATTTATCTAAAGAGACGCGGTTGAAATTCCGTAGATCAACTACCAGACTACCGTTTTGTCCCCCGAGGGAGAAACTACCGTATGAATGTCCTCCAGATCTCGCCTGCACTTTCACGCCTGCTAAGACAGCACACAAGACGGATTCGGAGACCTGCTGGGGCGTATTCGGTAGTGTGATAGCAGAGGGAATGTACTGGAGACGAAGATTATATGGATCAATCAGCGAGGCCCAGTCGGAGGAGGAACTCAAGCTTGTCGGAACATGTTTGCTGGCAAGACAAGCTTGTAGACTTTGTACCGACTCTACTGCGTAGCTTTCCCGAGGACTAGCGATTACCAGGACAGGAGCAATAAGAACTAGAAAAGTAGTGATGGTAAAATAAGAAAGCATCTTCGGAAAGCAAAAGTCGTTTCTCCGGTCGCTGCTATACATACGGGCGACCGGATTGAGGCTTATATATGTACGCGCAGACGGATGGAATAGTCTCGTCGTTACCCGACACCGACACCGAGGTGTGGCTTAGCTGTTCTTGTGAGAGGGGTTACTCGGACGGCCAAGATATCCGAGTGCAGATCCGACTGCGAGGCCGGGGTATCAGGTTAGTTCCACACAGGGACCCCGAGAATCCTGGTTCGCCCGATACCACTGAAAGGTTCGGTAATTAAGGTCTCAATCTGCAAGTACTTCGGAAGGTGAAGGGGTTATGGAAGATCAAGGATCTTCCATGCCAGGACTATGTTTTTAGTTAGTGGTTTGGAATACGCTCATTACATGACACGAGCGAAGGGCTCCCCCTAAATCGGAATCAGCACTTTAGCTGTAGAAGCGGCGTGAAAATAGCTAGTGCATTGTTGGATTTGACCCAATAGCAACGCAAACCTCTGGTGCCTTAGTCCTACCTTGAGAGAGAGGGGCTATTCTTCAAATTCCTAATACCACGTTCAAAGAACAGTCCTGCAGTCATTTTATACGAGTGACATCGAAGACCTGAGCTGCGAATTTGTTCTACGACATATTGTCTTGCCATTTAGGGACGCACTTTAGGTGGCGCTTCATAAAGCCAGATCATTCACATGAGTTTGACAATCCATTCGACTTGTTTGCTCGCATAGCAGGTAGTAGTCGTCAGTGTCTGATGCCTGTAACGAGAATGCGTAGCGAAAGGCACTTTGGCACTTGTAGCGAGATTGGACATATCTCCTGTGCTTTTCAGACGTAAACATGACGTTGGATTAACATACTCGCGCTGCGATATCTTCTATCGCAATCTAGCGGGTTGCGCAACTGCCCTGGGTGCAAAGGCTAACAGGCCCAACCTCAAGAGCGAATAGAGACTCCACCAATCCCGTCGATATAGTACCTCACCCCCCTCACAACCGCTTCAAAAAGATAATGCAGCAACTACTACGATTTGGTCTGAATGTAATTATGATCAAGGTAAAACGCCTCCAAAGTTATCTGCGACTTTCCTGTCTCTTGCCCTGCTAAGACGACCCGCAATTGAGCTGATAGAAAAGAGCTGATATTGTTTTTTTGTGTTCTATTGATTGAAGAGGATAGTCTATCTTCTCCGAAAAGAGATTCTAACATACACATACATTCTAATAGCGTAACACTGCATCAAAATACAACTGTTCACCTAACGTACTTCAATTTAACCATGAGCGGAGGCTTGACCCATACCATGTGTACCTTCTGATCTATCCAATTGGCACTTTCTGGACATAACTCGAAGTCAAAATGCCAAATCAGATGCGCAACGGTAGTGCGGGTTTCATGATTAGCCAGACTAGGTTAGAATATTAGCGATCTTTGTTTCGAACTCGTTTGAGTACAAGGAGACTCACTTCTGACCAATACAATTGCGTGACCCGCACGAGAAGGGTTGAAATGCGCCTTTGCGATCACTCTCGTACTCAGTCCCAGGGAGCCAACGCTCAGGGATGAATGAGTCAGGATCTTTGAAATTCAAAGCACTGTGGTAGGCAGCATAATGGGGGACTGCAACGCGAGTCTAGGGTGACGGTCTGGTCAGTCATGAAGTAAATCCTATCGCTTATGCATGTACGTACGCGTTCTGGAATGAGTTCCCCGCAAATCATGTTACCTCCCTTTGGCGTGACGCGGAACAATGCGAGCGGTGCAGCTGGGTAAATCCTGAGAGCCTCTGATATACACGCGACCAGGTAATGTAGATGAGGCAAGACATCAAGGTTCAGTTCCTCCTTCTTCAATGCGCGTACTTCGGTCTGGAGTCGTTGCATTTTTTTCAGGATTCTTTAACAAGAGGTATAAGAGGCCGCTCAGTGTAGTGGCAGACGTCTCAGTCCCAGCAAACATGAACGATGCTGCGTCAGCCGTCATCTCGCGTTTCGATAGATTGATACTACCATTCTCATTCCTTTCCATGACAAGTTTCCAAATGTCAGGTTTCCCGATGTCGATACCGCGTGCTAATCGCTTTCCTACTCGGTCGGCAGAGTGATTATAGTGCTCGTAGGCCTTTTCCTTCGCACCTTTCGGCATGACAATCGATAGTAGCTTATCAAAAAGCTTGTACTCTCGCTTGACACGTCCGATCGATATGACGAGAAGGTGCCCGAACATTGACGCAACCCATGGCGTGTACTCTGATTTTTCAAGAAGACCTAAAGGCTCTCCAAAGGTTAAGTCCGCCATTACCTATTCTCAAACTTTTAGATACGTAAGAAATTGTTGTTACTTTTTTGAACTCACATCAAAAGTTAGGAAGTTGAGATACCTGGAGATGTCCATTCCGGTGTCGGGTTCGTTCGTTGCCTTTTCTTTCATGAGTCTTTTCAATGAGTTGAGGTAGCCGAGGAACAGGGGCTCTTGCTGCTTAAGAGCCCCCCTATCGCTGAACGCAGGTGCATATATTCTTCGACGTGCCCTGTGGATAGCAGTGTCATACATCGCTCCCATGGTGGAATCACCGTGAATATTTGGACCCAGGGTCGTGGCATCCTTCGTATTCTCGAGACGTTTCCCTGCTCCAGCGCCGGCTATATCTTTCCAGGCCTCAGGTGCGATATAGGTTAATCGGTCGGGCCCCAGCCGAACGACTTCGCCGTATTTCTGGTGCATTGCGTGTTCAAATGCGACCTCATCACCACGGAGCATCTTATAGAAGAATACAAGACCGGTAGCTGCAGCAAGCTTTGGGCCAGGGTCTAGCAAGTGGCGTTGCTTAGTGGAAGCACATCTGGTATCTAAAGGCCAAGCTTACATTTACGCAAAGGGTGGAAGCATATGTTGTACACGCAGGTACAAAAGAAGTTCACGACTACCTGCTCTGTGGTCAACAAATAGTTCATGAGTGAAGGAAGAAAGGTGTACATACAACTGCAAGGATTGCACCAATTCATAGTAGAATATCCTGGAACTTGAAAGCGAAGGGAATAGGCTTAAAATTCTGGGAAATTGCCATGGTAGATGAACGATAGTCAACTTGAGGTTGAGATGGACAGTGAGCCGTCGTAAGGATATTGAATAGTGCAAATGTGTGGAAGAAGCTTCTAGAGCATGACTGTGAAATGGGAATGCACAGTTAGCAGCTAGGAGATTATTCTATACGCCATTCATATAAGCCAGCCGTTGCAATTCGCGCATTCCCCTGAGTCGACGTGATAGCTAGGGAGGAAGGTGTAGAGACGATCAAAAGCGGGTAAACGGACAGTCGGACGGTTATATGGAGCCTCTTGGTCGAGCGGGAAAGCCGGAAATAAGCCCGCCTCATCACCTACGCTCCCGGTCGATCAGGGAAGCCGGAAACAAGCCTACCCGATTATTTAAGCTTTCGGTCGATCAGTGTAAGGGGCTGCGCTCCGGGGAGCAATCGCGAGGTATACAAGAGGTTGTATTCGATAGGGAGCTAAGCTCCCAAGCTACGTAGTTGTCTATATACAAGCTGGTTACCCGAGTAACAATCGGGCCGGTGAAGTCTAGGTGCACGAGGCAGCTTCTGGGTCCTGCGGCTGTCGTCTGAACGTCGTTCGGGCGGTGCGCAGAGAATCCGGGTGCTCGAGATAGCGCCCGGATTCTGCGAGTAGGCCGAGATTCCATCGAGGAGCTATCCAAAGGGCGTTCAGCCCGTTACAATCAGGAAAGCCAGAAATAAGCCCGCCCCATTATCTATAGTGCAACACTACCTAAAATTATAGCTAATAAATAGCTTTTACTTATAGCTAATACTGCTAAATTATTTATTTATATTTTAAATCTCTATCTTAATAAATATCTATAATTTTATATATATAACTATATAATGGCTTAACGTCTATTATTATATATATCCGAATAGGATCCGAACTAGAGTATCATCTAGCCTAGTAGAAAAATAATCGTTTAAACCTAACCACTATGATAACTTATGAGGTAGATTTTTACTATTCTTTGTTGGAGATCTAAGCTGATCAGCTGATCTCTGAGAGAACCAATCCATCAATCTCTAATCTATGTTGGGACGATACCGATCCCTGACCTAAGTCAACATTACACCCTGATCTTAACGATCCAAACAATCTATCAATCCCTNATCCAATCTATCTATCTATTACGCAATCTATTACTAAGATAGATTCTTCTAGAATCTAGAGCAGCTAGTATATATAGAGGTAGAATAACTAGTAGATAGAGAGAAGAGAAGATTACAA